CCTCCTCCCCTGTCCGATACGTCCAATAGTTCACGTGGAAAGCGCGAGCCCTTTGCTGAATGAGACGCATTGGATCACCTCATCGTTTTTCGATGGTCATCAAATCGTGTGGCTAATTAGACTGACAAATTGGCGTTGGGAGGGGGGAAACTCGCGACTTGTGCGGGGAAGGGTGGATTGGCGATATTTTGAGATGTTTGCACACCGGAGCAAACAAAAGTTGAGGAATTTGGTGTGAATTGGGCACTTACTAATGGATTACCACTGCGGCTGCGCATTTTTTTTATAAATTGCGGATGCGTTCCTAAATTGTTTTAACTATTCCTGAGCATAAAAGCTACACACATTGTAACCAAAAAAAAATTTAAAAAAATAAAAATTGGGTCGAACAATCCTATAGAACCTTTAGGATTCGCGGGGGGGGGAAAGACCCAAAATGACCAAATTTTCGACTTTTTTAAACATTTTTCTAAATTTTTCTAAAGGTTTTTCTACTTTAAATATAGTTAAAACTTACTAAAAACAATTCGAAAACACTTTATATTTGATTACTAGGTCAACCGGGACCACCAGGAAAAAAATTGGTTTCCCCCGGGATTTCCAATATGCGGTTTAACTCTCAAGAAGTTGTCCTCCGCCCATCCTGCAAACACAAGCGTGTCCACTCAAGAAAATCACCAGTCATTTTTAACGATCTCTGGGGCACCCCAAATTAAGCCACCACCTTAAATTTACCTTTTTTTATAACCCATCCCCCATCATCCAATTTTCCCGCAAACACCGTTCATCCTGTGTCTTCCCTGATACCATCTCTTCTCGCCAAAAAAGAACTGCTCCCGGCTTTCGCATTTTTGCGTCGAGACCGATCCAGGCATGAAAACAAATCCACCCACTATTTATGTCCGTGAAACCCCCGAACGAACCCTGGGCAAAGGCAATTTCGGCGCAACCACCCCCTGCAAAAACGGGCCTAGTTGCGGCTATACAGTAATGGGCCCGTAAATGGACTTTATCGCGCCGACGGGGAGCTGTCTCGCTCTCATTCTGAGAACTTGCAAGGGATGAAGAAGCCCAAGGCAGCAGCAGAATCCATGTCAAGAATAAAACTCTGCGGGGTGAACAGTTGTCTACACGACAAGCGGGCGCCATCCCAGCCGCTTTTCAGTAAACATTTCCAGCAGGCGGGTCCTCCTTAGCTTTGCGGAGAAGCGATAGGGTTTTCGACAAAAATATTTCCTCCCGAACTTTGATTTCTGGCTGGGTTAGCGGATTTGATTAGGGTTTTACGAGAACTGCTGTTTTACGAAATGTCACGTAACAGAAACCAATGGGGACAGTTTGGCTGATTTAATTTCAGCTTTTCTGGATGAAGGGTGATATTTATTGATTAATGACTATAAGATCCGCCAGATGTATCATCCTATTTTTGCCGTATCACAGTTTATAGAAGCCATTTATGCTAGCATTAACTACCACACGCCAAGCTGAGTTTTCCGGTTTCGAAACCGTCTCATTCCTAATATCCTAATTTCTGAAAACCCCGTCCCTTCATGACTTACTGTATCACACCCCTACCTCAACTCCCCTGACCTGTCCATTGTCTACTCTTTTTCCCCAGCATTCCTTGACCTTTTTGCACTTTGGGGATCCACCCTCGGCGATACGGGCTAACACCAAACCATCAAATTGCTCATTAAACGTCCTGGTCCGGTGGTGAAGTGCTTTTATACGTTCAATCCGCGGGTGCAAAGCATAGCAAAACGGTCAATGCTTTGCTCGGAGCAGCTTCTTCCCCCTCCACAGACCCTTACGTTGATTTATGTTGGGTTGGTGTAGCCGATGAAACCCAGGGGGGGGATAAGGTGGATGAGGAGGATATCTCGTTTTTGCCATAAACGGGGGCAGATCGGTCCCGTAAATATCCTTCTCCCCCAGGATGGATCCCTATGAAAATCCAATAAGCGGCTGGGGTGATAACGGTCATATAGACGGACAAACAGACATACACACACCCATCCAGCCACCGGATTTCCCGGCAGCGGAGGCCGGATGAGGTTGGGGGTCTTCCAACTAACCGGGAAGAGACCGGCTTTCCCCTTTTTGTCTCACCCCCCTCAAATCTCTAGGCACAATTTTGTTGATTTATGACCCAGGTCATCATCGTCTGTTTCCCAACGCCCGCTGTAGGCGGCGTGGAAAAATATTTTTGTAGGCAGTAGGGAGAAGTCAAGAGTAGCAGCGGTCAGCCGGGAGTTTACTCATGTACAGGTCGGGTCAGATGACCATGATTTCTACGTGTTTTGCTTGCGCTTTCCAGGCGCTTGGCAAAGATTGAATGACCTTTTGCCGACGTGCAGGCAGGCTCCATACATGACAGTCGAGAAATGGATAGTCTCCTTGTCTCTAATCTGCTGATACTTCCCGTTTCCGCGGGGAGCGCCTTCTTCACTGAAGGGAATGATAACACAATTCCCTAAAAATAGATGTTTAACTTTCTATTTCGTAATTCGGAGGCGCGCCGCTTGATTGATGATTGGCTTTTCCTTTTTCCCAATATCTTGTTTGTTATTCTGGTATTTGTAACTTTGTCCTAACCTTTGATATGAACTTATGGCATCAGGGTCGGAAAACAAGGGAAGGGGTCTGAGTTCCGGGTGCAATTTTTACAACGTTTTCTGAGCTTGTGCGAGCGCCAGGAGAGCATTGTAGCATTGTATACCTCCCCGCAACTATTGCCATTTCTTGGACATCACGATTCATATCAAAGTTGCGATATCTTCTGTATTACCCTCGAGGCAGTGGCATCAGGCGGGTCACCGATATCACCGACTGCAATCGCGCTGACCCGTCGCCGTCAATATTTTAGATTGAAGGGAGAATGATTGGGGGTGCACGTGGTGCGTTCTTGGTGCGATTGCCCCCTAGGCATCGGTACCCTTTTGGTGATCAGATCGGTGTGCCCTCGGGGGATGGACTCGCGCAAGACTTTAGCCTAGCCTCGGATCTGCCTATCAACCACGCGCCCTCATATATCAACTGTCCTGGAATGGGCCATCTGTTGGCCCCTTTGCGAACGTTACTAACGATTCGGACCCCAGGTTTATATTTATTTTCCGTTTTATAAAACCCCGATTTCATTAGAAAAAAAATGCGCATATAAATCCGCTATCGGACCAACAGGCTAGCAAGGACACAACGTAAAAGTAGGTAAATCTAATTCTCGTCTTTTCGCTTTCCGTCCTAATTAGCCTGTTATCCCCTATCGGGTTTATATAAATAATGAGATTTCTCACTCCTAGCATAATCCTAGTAATTTATGCTTTATATTTGAACACTCCGTTCTGCGAAACGTCTAAAACACCCCCTGTTGACTACGGTATCCCTTCCCTTCCTGACCCTTCTTGCTTTATCCAGAACGTGCTATCACGTCAAATCTGGATAAATCTTACCGCAATAAAAGAGATCTTTCCTCGGCCACTTCCATCCAATGTAGCGCTCATAAATCTGTACCCTTTTTCTGACCCCCGCAGCAGCTCCTGCCCCCGAAGCGTTCCGATCACGTGATAACGGCCGCCTGGGGTGCGCCTCCCGGATCGGCTAAATTAGGCCAGCCTTTTATTTTTATAATTAGTTATTAAGGTCTCATGAAATACACTTGAAATGTCCTTTAGGGTTAATCAAATAGAATTCCATTATAATCCCTATTTAACGGAATTTTCGTCGGCTTTAGTTTTAGAACCGTTCCCTTTTGTGCTGGTTCGCCACCCCCCCGTCTAGAAGCTAGATGTCCATGACACCTAGCTTTCTTTCTCTCCCCCTAAACTTTGCTCACACCACGTCTACAGTACACGCACGATGAAGCCAAATTGCTCTCAAAATTTCGGGCAACCACCGGACAGGCTATCATCGCCAACCATCCAGTCGGCTGTGTGTGTGCCATCACTGTATCCATGCGCGCACAAGTTTTTCCAATCGTCAAAAAGACAATAGCTGGGGTGAAGCGGCGCGTGCTAGGCGAGAACGTTCCCGTGTCCCACACGTGCCCTCCCTGTGCCTACCCACAAAGCATCTACCAAATTGCGCCATCGGGTGCACCCCCTCCGGGCTGGACCCTCATCGCCTGATATTTCTTGCCCCCTTTCTTGCTGTCCAACCGTTCTTCACCGTCTGTCCATCCGGGCTAGGGCTCTTATCAATCAGGGGGCCCGCCGTTCGTTTTGCTTCGCTATTAGAGAAGTTATTACCCGGCGAAGTAATCTCGAATAGCGGGTGGGTCATTTTTGAGGTATCGCATGACAGGTCAAATAGTTCGGCCATTGTTGAGGAGCGGTGAAGGAGGTTACCCAGATGTGGTGCTAATCCTTGGAGCAGACACTCACCTTACAGCCGTTGTGCAAGGGTTACGAGATGAAACTGGTTGTAATGAACGACAGTTCATCTATGCCAGTTTTTTTCGCCGATCCCGAATACGCAATCAGTTTGCCCCCAGATTTTTGAAACAAGATAGTAGTGATTTTGATACATTTCTACTAAAATCGGATCAAATTTCAAAATTTTTCTAAAGATAGTTTCTAATTAATTACTAACTAATTTCCAAAAAAAACACGATCCGACAAATTTCCGGTAGCGAAATCCGCAAGCCCCGCCTACACCTATTTCTGTTTACCAAGGTTATCAAGAGTTGGGTAGCTCCACCCTTATCAGTCTAAGCCGTTAACCCGAAAAAATCCGTTTGTAAAAACAAGACCATTAAGCCGGTGCGGCCGGCCAGCCGTTTTCGCCGATTGTTTGCCCGGGCCCCTTGAGAGGTGGCTGCAGCCCTTTTTCATTAGTGCCGTGTTTGCGAGCTGGTCCAGCAGTCGAACAAGCTGTTTGTCCCAACAATTAGTAAATCCCGCTTTCCGGCACCTCCTGCTAAATTAATTCCGCTTTGTGAATCTTAATATCCCTGGAATTTGCTCGACCTCCGACTTCCCAAAAATCCGGAATGTTTTTCCTGGATGCACCGATCCTTCCGGAAAATGACGCCACTGGCCGTCAACCATCCGGTATTTGGGGAGCCTGAGGGTCTTATTTTTTTTCTAGGAGCAGCTCCCCTGTCTCATGAGCGATATCTATCACGATGACCAAAGGGTTGGCGAGCCGTGTTGTGACCCGATGGGTCGAACCGGGGAGACCGGACGGGTCGAGCTCCACCTCCTTTCCTCTTGTGCACTATTGATGTAACCCAACAGAGAGGAGGTCTGGCCCAAGAGGGGGCCCAACATCCCGCCTGGGTTGACTGTTCGCTTTTCTTTCCAGCAGCTGTTCGTCTCATCTGAAATCGATCCCTTTTCGACTTTTACCCGAGTCGCAGGGACGGAGCTCAATCACACAATTCGCCCTACCGTGGTTCCGCCTATCCGACGGGGCATTTAAAGATTACTTGGATCCACTTTTTGGCTAGTCGGCTGCTTCTCTTTGGTGATTTTCTTTGATCTAGGAGGTCGGGGTCCTTTTGATACGTGCGTGTCTATTAATGCGCAGACGACTCGCGCCAGCGTTCATGCGCGTTGGCCTTGACCGATAACCCTCGATTTTGCCGCCTTTCAGCAATTCTTCTTATCTTGTTTTAATTATTCTTGTTCGAAACTTTAAAGTTCCTTTTATTTGCTAGTAAAATTTTAGTAAAATATGTTTTTAATACATTTCACAACATAGATTTTGCTTTCTTGCAACGTGTTGGCTTTTTTTCGTTTCAATGTTTATTATAGCTGATTTTTGGGTTTTATTTGCCATTTTGAAGGCAGTCACTTTCTTTTCAAATGATCTTCTGGATAAATTATCAACTATAAATCATCATCTATTCAATTGAGTTTTTACTAGACTCTTTATTCCCAAATTGCCCCACATCCTCAACTCGGATTAAATTTTACTTATCCTTCCGCTTTGCTTTTGCGCCCTGATGGGTTTTCCTTGTTTTCTTTTTTTTGTTGTCGTTCCAATCTTTTTCTTTTCAGGGTTATGGACGTGGTGGCAACACGGGGTGAAGAATTAGTGTCGGGATCAGCGCCAGGAGCCTTCCTTCCGTGCCGCAGAGCATCGTCCTTTCCCTACTTCGGATCCCCTGAGCACGACCATATCTTCTCCCCGTCACACGTACGTTTTTATCCTTCTTTACCATGTATTTTGGCTTTAGCTACGGTCTCAAAGCGCTTCTGAAGGGCTCAATCGGATTGCTGGTCATTCCTTACGTCACCTCTTCGGGCCTCATTTTTCATGTGAGTGTTACACTTTATACTTTGCGTGCATTATGGGTGGATTTGGGTGCTCGTCGAACCCTGTTCATGAAATCCATTTCACAACAGCTGTCCAAGTTTTGAAGTTTGAGAGTTAGAGTGCAACAGAACCCACACACTTTTTGATGGATCTCCCAATTAACACTTATCAATTTTTGGGGAGATTGAGGGGGGTAGGTGGGCGCGCGCGAGAGCTGGAAAAACAATATTATCTTTTCACGTGTTCTCTCCGTGATCTCCTGGGTCTCTGACTCCGCCTCCTTCTCCCCCGGTCTTATGGATTGTTTGCTTGAACTCGGCAGCGTTGATAGCAGCGACCCCCTACCGAATCTTCTCCCCAATTAAATACGGAAACTATGGCGCCAACCCCGTTTGGCTTTTCAATGTCTCCAACGCATTGCTCTACCCTTATTATAAGCGACTCCCCAGAAAAGCACAGTTATGGATACTGTAGCGCTATTCCCGGGCCAATGAGAGCGTTTGAATGTGAGTTTTCAGGGGTTAACTACGTAAAGCTATTAAATTGAAATACATTCTATTTGTCAATTTCCAGTGCACACCACCCCACTTTACGACTACGCCGAAGAAGCTTCACCTCCGGACAGCGAGACCACTTTCTTCCCAATGACTGGTTTTGACGATGAGCTGACCCTCACTTATGCACCGGTAATACTGTTTTTGGTTTTATTTATCTCAAATTAGCTAATACGTAAGAAGTCCGTCCGTTTTGCGGATGACTGCGGCGAGGAGTTGTGTACGGTAAAGGTGATGACCGAACCTCAGTACCACCCACCGTCGATCCCAGAACATGTCTTGAGAAGGCATCATGGTATTTTTTTCTTATTATAGACCTCATTTATCAACTTTTTTAGCCGATCTGTCCTACCTCCAAGAAGAAAAGACACAGCCAACGACGCTCTGGATACCAATGTTCACTCAACCTGCCGCAGATTTTGTAAAGTTCCGGGAAAGATTGGACACAAGCAACGTAAGTGATTTAATTTTGCCTTTTCTGTTTTCTCGTTACGTTATTGATGGCATTTTTACAGGTTGCACTGGAAAACGTAGTCATGCGCAACGAACTGCGAAAGCTGGAGGGTACGATCAAGGTGACCAACATTGCCTTTGAGAAGAAGGTGCTCGTTCGGTTCACGACGAACGGTTGGCGATCGTACAACGAGAAAGCAGCCGTCTTTCAGGTAATAATTTCGTTTGTAACACATAATAAGTGGTTTTTTTAGCCGTCCACCAGCAAAACGTACGATACGTTCGCGTTTGAGCTCGAGCTGCCAGCAGTTGCGCCAAAGGTCCCATTTGGTTTTGCGATTTATATATTTGCGTTTCAGGATTCCCTACTCGAATTCTGCATCCGATACGATACGGCCGGGCTTCAATTCTGGGATTCGAACTTGGGCGCTAACTACAAGCTGAAATGTGCGACATCGGCGCCAGCCTCTGCACCACAGAAAACGCCGAAAATTACAAGGTTGGTAGTAACGTCCTTGATCTGGTTGTAAATGATCGAGATGATCACAGAGAAATGAGACGGGTTAATTGCTGCTGGGGGATACTGTGTCTTTCTTGCAAAGATAGAGCCCTTTCTCCTTCTAATCTCTATTTTTCAGCCGCAGCCGACTCGACAGCGACGATGCCTACCGATTTGACTACGACAATTGGACGAAATTCGCATCGTGGAAGCAGCTGAGCACAGATGGTCCCTACTGGTAAAAGCCAGTGTGTTCGACACGGGTACTCGCTCAGCGTCTCTCATGTAGTTGTTACTAGTGAATAGATACGAAGTCAGTTAATGTTTGCTCTAACCCCATGACACCTCGCTCCACAAAGCATACATGTAGCCTTGCCTCTCATTGGATTTTTTCGATCCCTAAAACTAATCATCATTTTACGGCTTCCTTGCCTCAACCAGTACTTCAGCAATTTGCTCAACTCTCCCCCATCTTGGAAGCTGCTTTTTTGATGTTTTCACTATATTTACCCCTCTCCCTCTTTTTTTGCCCATGAGATGATTTGACGGTACTGGTAGGAACATTGTAATAAGTGTATGCGTAGTGTGATAACTGCCTCCAAACGCCTTCCCCCATTTTTTTTTGCGTTTTTGTGCTAATCTTGTCGTCGGTCTGCGCTTCGTCTGACATTTCGTGTCGGCCAGCCAATCCACACTTTCTTCAATCCGGTGCCTTACCCTGAATTTTACTGCGCCTACAAATTTAGAACAGAACATTTTTTTGATTGTTTTTATACTTTTTGGTCCCAGGAACATTGGTGTGTACCCTTGCTCCATGTTGTACCCTTCCTCACCCATCCCCCAGCCCCGAATCTGTGTATTGTTCTTGGCCTTTCCCCCAACCGTACAAGTTTTTACCGACTTTTGCGACTTGTGACATTGACAAATTAACCCATGATTCTGTGTCCGCGGGTTCAGCTTCGTTGCCCTTATACGCCAATCCCGCACACCGCACTTTGACTAGAATTTCTAAAAAAAGTTACCGATAAAAGAGTCTATTCCTAGTTTCCTTAGCCCCTTCGAAAATGCACCAGATGGTTGGGTACAGAGAATCTGAAGCCGGGCCGGGAGGTTATGGGAAGACATTTAGCAGTTTTGAGGGATGGGTCTCTGGGCGGTCGTTTTGGCCAACGGGGACAAGATGCGGCTTTTGAAGTGTACCCGGGGCTGGGGCTTGACCAATTTTATACTGTAACGACTTTGAGTTATTTGAACGCATCGCTTCCGTTTTCGCAAAGGCGGTTCCAGCCATTTCCTGCCAAAGTTATTCCAAGAAAATCCGGTAACTTTCGATTCGTCGTCAGATTTTGATTTTTGAAATTAGATTTTGCCTACATTTTTTTCTAAAATGGTTTCCATTTGTTGTTTTGAAAATTGATGGCGGCTTATTGATTAAAAAAGCCTTGCCTAGACTTTACAATTAAAAATATATGAAAACGATCTCTTTAATCCGTAATCGACGAAATGTTGTCGCGATCCTTTCTAGTCACAATACCGCCAAAAATTCAACTTTGCTCACAGTGTTTTTCGGGCGGATTGAGACGGCGAAATCACGCTTGATGGCGGAAGCAATTCAAGGGGTGAAGTGTCATGTTTCACCGATCCTCCAGGGACATTACCCATGTGGCCAACAGGGGCAGAAAGGAAGAAAAGAAGATGGGACCCTCCCTGTCTTCCGCGTAGAGCCGATGGGCAAAACCTCATCCACACACTCTCGGCCATCCTCAGCCAGGCCGAGACCAGTAACACCTCATTTCCCCTTTCAAATACACCCTCTTTCCCGAAAAAAACTAGCTTGTTTACTATTTAAGGAGCAGTAGCGTCTACGTAGGGTCCAGAATAATTGTTTTCATCGGAACTTTTGGGTCTCGCGCTTCGGAAGACTTGTGGTACAATTTTCTTAGAGGTAGAAAGAAAACTTTGTGTTTCCTTCACTTTTAGTTCCAATGACATTTATAGGAACCTTTTAGCAGGGAATTAAATAGCGATTTCATTATTATGGCACATATCCTATTTTTATCTTGGACCTGAACTGAAAAAACTGATGTCTAGTTTACTACCTGCGATGAATCCACACTAATTACTGGGAAATTCGATAGAACGGGCGGATGTCGGCTAGACTTTTTCGCGTAGGCCATTTGTCTTGACGTCCGAGCATCTCCCCCAGACGCGAATTGGGCCAGCCGAATTTGCCCTATGCTCCGTAGTTTTGAATTTAAATTTTGGGGATTACGTGGGCCTGGCACAGGTTTTTCCTTCTTTATCCTCGTTTCTTTGCCATCCAAAAGCCGATTGCACCCAATTCTTGGGCCCTTTAACGGGCTAGCCAGACACCTGACAGGGGGTAAGCCTTGAACAGGAACGAATATCAGCCCTCCTTTGTTCCGCCTAGAACTTTCTTCCACTATACAGGAGGAAAACTTATTCCAGGGGACGTCGCAACCAATTTTCCGTGAAACTAATCACAAATATTACCTTTCCGGGACTCAGGCTCGCCCCCTCTGCTCGCAATTTGATTCCTGGGCCACCCTAAACCCAGAATAAAAAGAGCCATGGCTAGCCAGCCCTCCCTGCGCAATGCCAAATTACATCCATCTTCCGCCTGGGTAGCCGCCTTTATTTTCGGGGCATCTTTGATTATTTTTCAAGTGTCATCCGCAGCCGGGCCCTCCTCAGCCTTCCAATTCTTTTTTTTGGGGACAGGTACAAGCTGTACTTGTGCCACTGCAGCCTTTGCATCGATTTTACTAGAATTTGAACTTTAGTTTGTCATTTTTCGAACTTCAAGTTTCTTTTGATTTTAGATGTACGATCCAGAAGACCATGATCTCTATCTCACCCCAAAAATTGCATATTTTTCCTCGGTGAAAGGAGGAGCGTCACGGCATATGCTAGTGAATGGAAGCGATCAGCAGTAAGTATGCCATAAGTCATTTATACGCTAATTATATCTAGAATTGCCGTAAAAATCAAATGCAGCAATAATTCTTTATATCGGGTCTCTCCAGTCTATTGTAATTTAGTCCCTGGTCAAGCGCAGCGGCTTCAGGTATTCAGAAAAGTGGGATTCAAGCCTACATGAATTCTTCAGATTGTCCGCGATCCCGGAGCTGCAAAAGTAGACAAATTAATAATACTTTTTAAACGAAGTGATGCTATCAACCCACGGGATGCGTTTGTGCTTACCAATGACGAGGTATGCCTTGAATACGCTACTGTATTGGGTGGTTTAGGAGAGCGAAAGCGTGCAAAAACGACTGATTGCTCTTATCTCGCAAGAAGACGTCGCGGTTCAGCAAGCGCCACGGACCAGCTTGAAAACAATTTTGCAGAAGAATTCTGTGGCTTGAGTTTGATAAAGTGCTGAATTGCTTGTGGAATTACAAGTTATGGATGGAGAGAGAGAGAGAGAGAGAGAGAGAGAGAGAGAGAGAGAGAGATAGAGACTTCAAAAGAGAGCTCACCACATTCCTTTTGACAAAAAGCGTAGCTTTTATGACTTCGAATCGTTTTTACCAACAAGTAAAATTCCTAAAAACTTAACTAGCAGCAAAAAACCTTTAACAATTTAAAAAGGTATGACTCATGCAAAAAATTCCAATTCGGACTTCGCTAATTTCACAGGGCCGACCACACCTTTGATCATTTCACCGGGTTAGGCCGCGCATTCCTCTACCTGACAGAGCATTTGGAGAGAGTTATCACGTGTGACAGGATCTGTCCACCTTCCGCTCGGCCACTCCTTCGAAACGCACGGAACATCCATACTTCCCCCCGCAACATCACAACACAACACCATGCCAACTTCCAGCGATCTGAAGAAGAAACTAGAAGCTGTACTTGATGTTGTCAATGACGTAAGATCTACAGCTGCATACAGCTACCACAAGCTCCGAATTTCAGCTCGAGTCCCCAGTGGTCGCGCTTGAAAATTGGAAAAATGTCCGGAACCTTCACAAATCGGAAGCCCCGACGACCAACAGTTTGAAAAATGTGGAAGAAGCCTTTGTGAATGGGGTTCGATCTAATGTGGAGCATATCCGCGATCGGGTGGCGAATGTTCGTCAGCGTGGACTGGTGGGTGAAAATTCTCAGAATTCGAAGTCGAATTGTCTATAGAACAAACAAACCCTCCTTCGAAGCTTGGCTCTAAGCATTTTGCCGATTATTGCCATTATTCTGGGATGTCTAGGATGGAACAGGTACGGTAGTAGTTAGTGCTTGGTAACTTCGAACTTGATAACAACCCACTTCAGCTGTAATTCCAACCCCACCTTACCCAAATTGCTGTTATGCTTTGGATTCTTTGCGCTCGGCAAAGTTGTGATGGATCTGCTGATCGAAACTGAGGTTCAAATTCGAAAACTTTAGAAACGATTATTTAGGACAACGATGCAAAGGTTTTCAAATATAAATGCGCCAAGGGTGTTTTCTCAATCTTGCTTCTGATTTGGTAAGTACTATATCTTTGTTAACGAGCGGAATTCGAGCCATATATCTTGTTTTTGAACGTTTTAGGTTCTTCGTTTGTTTGGGCCATGTTTGGGCTCGTTGGGGAACATATTCTGGAGACGTTTCTTCCCCCTATTATTGCGACTCCTTGACTGTTTACGGATTGTAAGTCGGATTTTTCTGTATTGATATCAACTACTTAGATACATCGTATTCTTCTTCATGCTTTTCTGCCTGCTCATCACCGCTGCTTATTACTTAATCGTTGCCCTGATGCACATCAAAGACCGTGTTAAGAAATAGACGAACCCCATAGAACAGATAAAGTGCTATCATCTCTTGCTCAACGTCGAATTGAAATAAATTTATTTGCTAAAAACAACCCGTGCCCTAATGGAGAAAATTAAGAGTTTACAAAAAGAATTAAATATGGATTAAACAAGTTAGTAAACAGCAATTGAGGAGCGCCGCGATGCCGGCAAACTACACGTAGCCAAATGAGCACTTGGATAAAGGCTTGGCTCGGAATCAGCTTGGATAATTGTGGAACCAGATCTCAAATAGTTCGAATTTGTATATCGAGAAGTGTGGGGCGGGTGAAGATCAACCACTGGTTCAGTTCGGGAGCAGGAAGAAGAGGGCCTTTTGTTTCGCATGGAATTTGAGTAGGATCCAGGGTTTGGTGACGATGCTTTCGAGACAGAAATTTCAGGAACGGTGAGGTTTGTATTCGACGGCCTGCAGGCGATAACTAGGCCGTTTGAGCTGGGGCTGAAGCCAGAGACATCAGGTTCCACGCAAATTCCCGGGTGCTTTTGTCCAGCCTGCTTCCACATACCGTCACGGAGAAAGTCGGTTTTACGTTTGTAGTACCTGAGAATATTGCCGATAGTTTTTGTAATCATTGATGTGAATTATTTATTGCTTGGTAAGAGGCAAAAAAACGTTAAATTAGTGACCGGCTCTCAAAAATTTTGCATAAATTTGGAGAAACCCACCAAATATATCCAACAATGCATGCACTGACGGCCGAAAGAACAACGCAAAGCAGCGCCTCGAAGTATTTGTCGTCCATTTGGAAACAGTTACAGGCTGGCAACTGGATTTCACACGGGCCTGTCGAATCGGTCGATAGCTTCCGAAAGAATTAATCGGGCGGCTTTCGCCGGGCCTCCTAGACGATCAGATATGGTGATCAGACAAAACATCCCCTATGCAAATTCCGTCCCGGGGCAGTTGTACCCAACTGGTGTTCCTTTATTTGGGTGTCGCGTCATTGAGATTGCCTAAGGAATTTCACAAATAAAAAACTTCCTTAGAATAAAAATGATCACCACCTCCACAATGTAAAATTTCATGATAGGTCCATCAGCCTCAGAACCCCTCTTTAGGGATGTCCATCACCATCACCGGCCAGATGGTCGACACCTAGCCCTAGCAGAGTCGATTTTTAGCTTGTCCGCCCCTTGAAGGCTTTTTATTCTCCATTCCTTCTTGATTTTTAAACCAGAGGTGAATCAGGACAAAAAAACTCATCCCAGTTCACAGAACCGTTAGGCGTATCCTTAAATTGCAGCCAGGCAAAAATTACTTGCAATACTTTCCAATTTTCAGGTGGCTTACGGTAGGTGCCCTTACACCTGATTGGTGACCGTGTTGGCTTTATGGCCCCAGCCACCTCTCATAATGCTGACTGGCGATGAAAGTCTTCTTAACCGCCTTACCAATCACCCTTGTCTATCAGAATTGTACAGCAGATTCTAATCTGCGGCTTCCCCCCTCGGCTTACGAAAGTCTCCCCCCCGCGAACCCCCCTCCTCACTGGGAATTTCGAGGCCACGATATTTGTAGTCAATTTGCCGGTTATTGGCCAAGGCGGCCCTTTTTCCGGTCGGGCTCGCCGCATAATTTCGAATTGATGTCGGTGCCTACCGTCACTAGGGCTACGCGTCTCTTATTGGCCGCCCATACCAACATTTTCATAGGGGGCTCTTGCCCCTCGACACCTTTTCGCGCCATATGACCATCTGGGCTTGTTTTCGGTCCTAAACGGGTGGTGAGCACGCGCTTTTGGGCTGCAGTTTTGTAACAGCATACTGAAATATGCCATAGTGGAGGTTTATTTGTATAAAAAAATTAACGAATGCAGAGTTTTGTATACCAATCACTTGATTACCGTTTATATTATTGCAAAGCAAGTTGGTTTATATAATTTAAATAATGCATAAAACAGTTTCTTTCACTTTCTATCTGTCTCCTTCTATCTCTCTGTCTCTCTTTATCTTTTTCTGTCGCTATCTCTCAATATCTCTCGCTTTCACTCTCTCGCGGGTTCTCCCTCTCTCGCTCGCTCTCTCTCTCTTGCCCTCTCTCACCATTTTTGTCGTCATATTAATTTAGCAATATGTTTGTTTCTCATTTTTACATCCACTGCATCGCCCTTCATGTCCTGTCAGGGAAATTTATAAGGTGACTAATGCGGCCACCTGCGGGGCCGTAGTCCCCCCCCTTTTCCCTGGCCATCATAAACATTTTTCCATTCCTATCCTCATTTTACGGCCCGTTTGTGGCTTTGAAAGAATTTTACACGGGATTTCTTTGATCCAGAAATCCATCTATCATAGTAAATACATTGGGTGGTAGCCGAAAATTCCTGGTTACTGAATTCCTCCATCTTCAGCGCCACTATCCAAGATTAAAAGCTTTAGACCGAAAACCGCTTGAATTTCCTTGACCGAATCCACCATCCACCTACCGTACCCTTCTCAATATCTTTAAAAGAAGCCCACTGTGATTTATTCATTGCCAATTTTCAGTGTATTAGACCATTTTCGGCGCAAAGAATCCGATAAATGAAGGTGACTGAAATTGATGGCTTCTCAGCCAGCCGAGACGGGCCTGCGGGGCAGCATTTTCCCAAATTCATTTTCCGCAGCCAGGGCGGGCTGGGCTAGCGATACCCACGGCAAGCCGTTCAAAAGCGATGCGGTCTGTTCGCTAGGGGGGGAGAAGAGGAATTCATAAGCTGTCCCTCCTTGCTCGTTTCCCGACTCTAAAACACGGCAAGAAATAAATGACACCCCGAATGTTTTTGTATAGCTCAACATGTCAAACACCGTCCCGTGTGGCTTCTTGATGCTCAAGAAGCCCCTCCGCGGTTTGGGCGTTTCAAATATAGGATTGCACTGAAAGAGACTGAATTCGTCCCAACTTTTTTGAATCCCGGGGGCTTTAATCAGCCGTTTCCAAATGGCTTCCTGTTTATCTCTGTGACTAAATGGGCGGTCAGACAGCGTTCTCTCTTTAATAAAAAGCGTTTCTAGCTGAACTTGTCGAGTTTCTCAGTTCTCCTTCGTTCAACTCTTACGGCATTATCCTAATAAATTAATTAATTTAGGCCGGGAGCGACATCGCTTGGCGCAGAGTCAGCTTTACATGCCACGGAAGGATAGAAAGGTGGATTCCCGGTTTTTTGTAGTATCAATAAAGACATCTTGCTTTTTTTATTTGCGGATTCGACTATGAAAAATAGCATTGACGAATGTTTATTCAAAATTCACGCTAAACTCCGCAACCTCAACACTTCGCGATTTTCCGGCCCAATGTTATGGGGGTTGCCATTTTTACTGACCTTTTCCCCCGGCTATGCTTATCCGTCACCCCGTCATTTTACCCCCTCACCAAATGCGATAAGGATCTGGGAGACTGGTTTCTCATGCCGGCTTGGGAAAAGTTCGTGCACGCGGGGCAGTTTTCGATAACTTGCCCGCACTATAGAATCTTGCATATGCGGATCGTTGAGGATTCTCAGCCATAAAATATCCCCTCCGTTGAATGGGCCCGACTGTTGGGGACGCTGGGGTCCTGGGTGGAATCCCTTCCAAGGATTGGCACATAGCCAACTCCCCCGACGGCTCCAATGAAATCGTGGGTGGCGTGGGTTATATGGTAAATTAAGGGCTGTTTATTAAGGAAATACTTATGAAAAACCGCTAAATATTTCAGAAGCCGGATGGTGTAGAGATGGGAGACAATGTGCTCAGCGGAGCTGTCAGATCAGCACGCATGGGTCCACCCGACTACACATTTACACAAGTCAGTTTTTGAAAACAACTAGAATTCATAGAAAATCATGTGGAAAACCAAATTATTTTAGCCAACACCAGAATTGATCGAACCACAGTCGATTACTGATGCACACGCTATTGTAAGTTAACCTAGAATTGAAAAAAATCGGAAACGTTTTAGCTATCAACAGCATCACCCGATATGGAACTCGGGAAATTCTTAGCACAGCGGAATAAACAAATGTTAGTTGGAACCCTATAGGCAATATCCGGTTTAGAAAACAATTCGTGCACCGTGAGAAAGTGAAAGAACAAAAGCAGAAGACGCCTAAAGTACAACTCGATCCAACGAGGGTATGTTAATTCCAAAACATAGTATTTCTTTTACGATTAGAGTAAAAATTACGTTAATCAACAGCTTCTCTGCTCCGGCTGGCGTACTTTGTAGTCTTGTTAGGCTTTCTCGGTGATACCGCTTTTGGGAAAAGGATCAGCAGAAACCTGCAGGCTTGAGAAATTCACTATAACCACACCTACCTATTTTCATTCAAAAACGCTATATATTTACTACAGGGACTACAACACCTAAACCCCGATGAACAGCCTGGAAGCGCTACACATCTACAATTTATGGGTGCTGAAACGTCGGTCGAACCTGTGATGCCTCCGGTTAAACCGGTAAGAAAGTTGAGAAAAATACGAGCCCATGAATTTAGAAACGAGTAAGGAAGACAAACCCCAAGACTAAAGCTGCAAATATTGAAAATGTAAGTGTGCCATCGGAAATCAGTAAGCTGCCAATTTCAGGGGCCGGTATTACCACCAGCCCACACAATGCTAAGCGGTAGTAATGGGTCGACGGAACCGAATTCACCAATATCGGCGTCGATGGGAAATTCGCCAAGCAAGCTTTATGCTGTAAGTAAAATCGAAAAAATATGGATTCTAAACGAAATTTAGAATAATGGCCAACATGAAGCTGCAAATGGCAACCAGCAACGGGAACGTCCATCAGCCCCCACCCCGGCACATCCGCAAAATGTTCAGGTAAGAACAGCAATAAATTTTGCCATTTATACAATTCGGTATTCACGATTTGAAATGCGATAGCAGATGTACGCTTTGTATTTCGTAGTGGCGCCTTCTTTTCATCGCCAACACACTAATATACGCAAATCTTAATTCCCGATTTCTAGGTCGTCGTTTGCCCTTCGCAACAACGTTCCTCACCAAAGAATGCAAAACAAACTGCCCCGCTCCCACGTCACCATATTGCCCACCATCAACTTCCGCCTAGCCCCCAGCATCAGCAGCAACAACAACAGCATATGCAGCAGCATGGCTACCAAAACAGCCAATCATTCCATCAATCCATAGCCCAACAACACCAAGCATACCCTCATCAACAATACCATGAACGCCAATACCAACAGAATATGTCTGGATACAATCCGAATCTGCAGGGGCAAGCTGTCGAAAATCCCTACCTACCCCAGCCGCAACAGCAAAACGTTCAATTTCACCGCCAGCCCAGCGAACCACAACCTGCACAAGAGCCGCAGCCCGTTCAAGAACTCACCCGGGAGCAGCAGAGACAACAAGACCTGGAAAACTATCACCATCATTTACAACAACTGGAGCAACAGCGCGCGATGGAGCAGCGACAGCGTCAACAACAGCAACAGCAACAACATCAACAACAGCAGCAACAACAGCACAACCAATTCCACCAAGCCCACCAGCCCTTTGCGCAGCATCAAAATGGGCATCAGCCGGTGCACCATGCTCATCCAAATAATGGACACTCACAAGAACCGCGACACCCCGACCACATCCACTATAGGATCAACCGCTCTCCACCAAGAAATCAGAACTTCGAGCAGTCGTCGCATCCTGAAAACTATCCGGTAAGTCGCCAAAATAAATCAATTAATTTATCTTTTATTTTAGAAAGAGCTGGAACAGATGCTGCTTGGAGAGGATGGGCTTTTTGGTGAATCGGTAGGCCTAAAGATTTCCATTCCAAAAATTAAATCTTTTCTAGAATCAAAGCCAACGTCATCGACCATCGGCGCCGGTTCCGCCGTCACCTAAAGAGGGACGTCGCTTCCGGTTTGATTCTGGCAGTTCATCACAGGATAGCATTGCGGAAATTGTTGAGGTTTGTTGGCCTCTAGACACTTGTAATTGCCATTAATAAAGACCAATTTAAATCAAACGTCTGATAAAACCAAAATAATTTTAGTTGCTCGAGAAAGACACGATGGGTGACGAGTTTGATAAGCTCGGCGGAATCGAACCGTTTTTCTTCAATATGCCAGAAGATGACCAGAAGATGCAAGACTATCTATGCCCACCACCTGGCCAGAAACCGAAGCAGACACATAAAGAGAAAACGGCCGCGGTGCTAGCCAAATATGCTGAAATTTTGAAAGTGGGATTATCCGGTCCGGACATCAATAATATAACATTTAGGAAGACGACTTCGATGAGCTAGACATTTCCATCAATAATATCGCATCCCTCCCCGGCAGCCAGATAAAGCCGGCTGCCAAGAAAGAAGCTGCCAAGAAAGGCAAAGAAAAACCATCCAATTGCCCACCAAAACCTGTGAACGGCGACGATACCGATCTCACAGATATGGATGATGACGATCCGTTTTCGTTGAATCTTGACAGCGACTCGAAAACAAAGGCTTTCTTCGAAATGGTCGATGGGACAGATTTCACCGGACTACTGGATATTCCAGATGAGGATTTGGAGGTATGGGAATACTTATTAAATCAATGCACTCACTTTCAGGCGGGCACAAATAGTGCAAACGACGAGATTTTGCCGGATGACAGCCTTGGCGACTTCAATATCGCGACCGATATTTCGGACCTAGATGATCAGTTTTTGAACCTTTTCGATGACGATGAAGTATGAAGTTTTTTTTTGGAATTTTATAGATATTTTCAGGCGGATCCGAAGGAGCAGAAGAAGCCGGTAGTGGTTGAGACGCCTGTTTTGGAAAAGACAGTAAGCACTTGGAAGAATCAACTATAAACCGATTCAGCTTGACCCCGATTCCGATCTGGACGAGCTATCCGATGACGACATCGATGACGACGACGATTTCCCAGACCATTCGGCTGAAATTCTAATTAAACTGGGATTCCCGGATTTTGCTGATATGACCGAAGAGGTACGATCAACGGTTGCTTTTATCAAAAACAATGTTTTAGCAATTCCTGGAATACTCCGATAAGATGGTGGGCGAGCTAAGGAATAATCCTTCTAAAGGACAACTCCCGATCGTTAGTTCTCGTCAACATTTTTTCTAACAAGCTTTTAGGCGGCGTACCAGCAAGCTCAAATGGCTGCCCATCAACAGCAGCTAATGCATAATGCACAGCGAAATGCTGCAGGAGTGCAGGGTGGATTGTCAAATGAACCAAATCTCCGAAGACTACTTGAGCAACCAATTACGGTATGTCTGTAGCAAATCAATCATCTATTGCTTAGGATCCTAAAAGCGTGCAACAACAAATCTTCCACACGGCTCAGGGGCAAATTGTTCAAGTCATCCACATGGACGTAAGGCTGAATATTATAGGTTTTAATTAGCTTTTTAGGCGGCCACCTATGCTGCAGCTCAACGCATGCCACTTGACAATCATTCACGCTATATGCTTGAGCAACATCGCATCAAGTGGAAGGAGCGTCGCTTAGAGAAGAAGACTCATTTCTTGAAGCGTAGCGTCAAGGTCTTGGTATATGTGAGTTTTAAATATCATCTACCGGTAAAGAAACATAAAAACCCGAAGACTTTTATAGGCTAATTACAAAACAATTTCCAGAAAAACGGCGCTCTATCCGATGAGGTTGGCCGTTTGGGCCATAGAATTGTCGTGGTCACAACCGAGAGACGCGATCTGGCAAAAAGACTGCAGCACCTGGAGAAAAATTATCTCCGCCGCCTCACCACGGCCAAAAAGAAGAAGGAGATTGCACGGGCCCAGAAGAATCTCATCCCATTTGCTCCGGAGGGCCAGCGAGAGCAGTATATAGAATCGGCCAGGCTAGCGCAGTTGGAAGCTCGAAGTGCTACTGAAGCGGTCGGTTTACAATTCGCAATGGCATTTACAGTTAGAATATTCCAGTAAAGTATTTTTCAGGCAAAGAAGGTGCGCCGCGACTTGACGGCAATGGCGACCACAATGATCCCGGTGCTACGCGCCGAAATTGAGGCCGACGAGCGAGATGCGAGAGCCGGCGATCATCTCAAACATCCAAGGCCACCTCGTATCTACAAACCCAGACCGAATCGCAAGCAACAACCGCGCAAAAAGAAGAAGCGCTCCAAGGACGGCGTCGACCAAAAGGTAGATGAAACCTTGAGAAAATATACCTCCCTTCAGCTGAGCGAAGAATACATCAGCCAAGAAGTCAGTGCACTCCTCAGTGGAATCAAGGCCGACCAGGAGATACGTGAACAAGGACGGCTTGCTCAGGTAGGCTTATTTTATCCCAGCAAATATATAATTTTTTTTTCTCAGGCTCAAGCCGCTCGTCAAGCCCACGCCGTCGTGCATCGCATCGTTCATGCTGACCCACAGCAGAAAATGCCGATGCCAAGCCCGAATGAGAATCCCATGACGTATACTCAACCAAATACAGTCAATCCTCAGACGGGGAGCAACACCTTCCAAGGCCCTTACACACCCTTTGCCCAGGGCGCATTCGAAGGAGCACCGATGGTCGAAGAAATTATTCAACCAACGTTTCAAGGCGGATATCGACAGATTCAGATCCAAGCCCAGCAAAATAATCAACAAAACTTCGTCCAGACAACCTTTGTCCAAGAGAACTTCCAGCAAATTCAACATCATGCTCAAATGGCCCCGAGGAAGAAGCGGGCTCCGAAGCAGCCGGCTGCTCGACCGGAACCTAAGGTTTCGCCACAAAAAGAAGACATCCCCTACAAACAACTCGCCCAACAGATGCTTCAACAGTTTGGTACCCATCCGAAAACTGAAACCAAAATGGGTGCTGGGGAGGCGGAGCCACAGCGAACCATCATCAACTATAAGATGCTTGGTGAAGTCAAGACCCCAACCAAGCAAGCTGAGCCTCCGATTATCAAGCTGACACCTGTCTCGGAACCTGCAGCAGCCATCCCATCATTAAAAGTGGAAGTGGAAGACGATGATCTCCCGGAGATGAAGCCGAAAATCTCGGTACGTTTTTGCGCTGATTTTCAAACAGTTTTGAAGCTTACGCTAAATTTCAAATATTTTTAGCCGAAGTCGTCTAAAAAGGAGCAGCAGTCAGCAAATTCGGCCAAGAACAGCCTGAGACCTACTCTGACGCCAGAAAAGCAGCGGCTATCGCGTGAGGAACGGGCCAAAGCCAGAAGAAGTGCCGAGGAAGACGTGAAAAGAGCCAATCTTCCGAGTCCACCACCAAAAGCGTCACCGACAAAAAAGGTATTTTATCCAGGGTAGACAATTAAATCAGCATTGGTTACCATCTTTATATCATAATATCATTAAAATGATCTTACAGAGCGAGCCGGCCACCGACTTTGCCAACATCACCCCGGAAATTCCGAAAGAAGCTGAACAGCGCAGTCTCCGCAAACGCCGCATTCCGCTAACTCCTGAAAACCTGGAAACTCCGGTTAGTTCAAATTTCAGAACGTATTTATTTATTCTAGGTAAAACGCCGTGGACGCACCCGAGGTACCTCTATCGGCTCGGTCGCAAGCAATGAACCGGAATTGATGTTCCTCGATGATGAGGTATGTATTATCAAATAATATTTGATTTTTTTACAGAGCAACAGCAACATGGACATCAAATCCGAGTCATCGCGCTCTTTCCGCAGCACTCCCGCGCCAGCCACTCCCGATCTTCTCGAAGAGGTATGAATTAGTTTTAATGCAGCATGAATTCTTTTAGAAAGTGAAAAAGCGTCGCGGTCGACCGCCGCGTCGTGCGATGGATGATGAAAAATCGGCTACTCCGGTGCCGGTAGCCCAGCCCGAACCCGTAGCGGAACCACCGAAAGAAAGTGGACGTTCGCTGCGCCTGCGTGAGCGCAAGATTGAGCCTGCCGTCGTTCCTCCTCCGCGAGCGACGCGCCCTGAAAGGGCTGCCAAGCGCAAATCTTAAAAGGCCGTCCGCGGGTCACTCGAACAGACCCCATTAGGGCTTGGCACAGTTTTTTCGACCCATTTTTTTTGACGCCATGTGAAAGAGCATAGTCGAATTAGTAGGACTGCATGGTTTTGAGATTTTTAAAAGTTCATTTTTGGACTTTAAAGGACCGTTAAAGTCGTTCACCCCAAAAAGTTATCTTTGAAGTTAGTTAACCAAATTTGCTGAAAATTTGTGTCAATATCTAATTTGGGGCGGGGATCATTTTTCTAATACATTGCTAAGCCCGAAAATCACCGGAACATAGGAATCTCGCGTACTCGGAACAGTTTTTCAAAATTTTCGATTTTTTAGAGTGTTGCCTGTAACGTGAAAATAACATAGAAAGATGCGCAAAAATTTTCTGCGTCGAGTGTTGTATTTTCTAGAGTGCAGTGAACACTCTAAAAATTGCAAAAATAATAGTTTCTTAAATGTGAAAGAAGACCTGTACGCCGAAGACGTCTGCGTATTATAAAAAACAGACTTATGCATGCCTTCTTGAGATAATTCCCGACCTAATACAAAAAATCGGAAAAATAAATTCCTTTTCTAAGAGAATCTAACGAGTTACTGGAATCGAACTCGCGATGGCTCGCCTGGGGGGCTCTGGGACAGCCACTAGAGGGCGCCGCCGCCTCCCAGGCGAACGACCCGAGTTCAATCCCAGCCCCCTCTTAGAAACCGAATTTCTTTTTGTTCTTTTTTTGCTATCGCCGTGATTTGGGCCGTAGATGCAAGTCTATGCTTTTCCCTCCACACCTGATCACATTTTTTATTTTTGACTGGAATCAAGGCCATTTTTGTAGTTTTTAGAGTGTTCACTGCACTCTAGAAAATACAACACTCGATGCAGAAAATTTTTGCGCATCTTTCTATGATATTTTCACGTTACAGGCAACACTCTAAAAAATCGAAAATTTTGAAAAACTGTTCCGAGTACGCGAGATTCCTATGTTCCGGTGATTTTCGGGCTTAGCAATGTATTAGAAAAATGATCCCCGCCCCAAATTAGATATTGACACAAATTTTCAGCAAATTTGGTTAACTAACTTCAAAGATAATTTTTTGGGGTGAACGACTTTAACGGTCCTTTAAAGTCCAAAAATGAACTTTTAAAAATCTCAAAACCATGCAGTCCTACTAATTCGACTATGCTCTTTCACATGGCGTCAAAAAAAATGGGTCGAAAAAACTGTGCCAGGCTCTGTTCGGTTGGCTCGCAAACGGCCTTTTAAAGGGCTGCTGAGATCCTGCATTTCAAATCAACTCCGCCTCTTCTTGCCGATGTTTTCTTGTTTTTTTTTCCCGGTTTGTGCTTCAAAGCAACGCATGAATTTTGGTGGTAAGGTTATGCTGCAGGTCAAATCATTTCGGAGAATTGATTTTCGCGAAATGCATGGAGCAGAGCTCCAAGACGATCTTCACATAAGCTCTACAATCAAAATCTTCTAAATCTCCCGGTCCAATTTTACCTAGCCAACTCCGAAGTATTCTTTTTCAATTCCGATCCCTCTTCGTTCTTGTTTATGTATTTACTGTACATCTTTCCTTTTCTGGGGCCAAACATATCAACCTACTTATCGAAACATCGGGAGCATTACTAATCGTATTATTCACCAAAAACGATCGGCAAACTTTAATGACTACTAGTCAGCATTCAATTACCTACTATCCCCTACATTGCCCTCATCGTTAGAGTCATCTTTCTTAGATACTCGCCCTTCGGCTCTTCTCTCTACTGGTTTTACAAAACTTTCCCCCAAAATAGATTTGCAGCTCCCGACTAATTTTCCTCTTTTGTGTGTTTTCTTGATCTCGGCGTTCGCCGATTTGTCCCCTTTCCATTCTGATACAGTTAAGTTCCGCAACGGTTTTCAGTTTCTGATCTCGCACGCTTCTATCGTTTCTGGTATAAACCTTCTGGGATTTATGCATTGGATGGATCAGAGCAAAGTACATATGCATGCACCAACAGCTATAAGCGGAACTCTACCCAGAATTTTTTGACCCTATGCACAGACAAACATCATCGATGCTCCATCGCAAAGCAACTACTCGAAAATTTATGACAACGCCCTCACGAACCTACAAGGTAGCCGAACCCTCAATTCAAATCCTATTCCCACTTCTTCTCCTAAAAGGCAAATATTTTTGTTTTTAATGGGTGGCTGTGGATCGAAACCCGATGAAGTCTATTTTGCAGAAGAGGAATTAGTGGCCACCCGCGATGCGTGGACTCGGTATATTGTCGCAACCCAAAGTACCTCTATTCAATAGTGCAAAGTCGGGAAACATTGCTAAAAAGATTTTATGGTCTATGATGGTGAAGAGGCCACAGATTGCTAACTACTTTGGGGTTTATGAAGAAAGGTTTACTATTGCCGATGTTGCAGAAGACGCGCGGTTTGCTAGAGAGGTGAAGCTGTTTTATGATTTAGTCGAGGAATGTTTAGGCAGAGAGAATTCACAACTTCCTGGACACTGCCGTGTATGCTCTAGGTTTTTGCTCCCTATCAGAAATTCATGAGATGTCTCGGCAAATTGGCAAGAGCCATTACTATAAGTAAAGTGTTTTGGCTGGAAAAGAAAGGCTATTTTAGGGGCGTAAATTTGAATGACGAGCTCTTGAACGTGTTTCGGGTTGCGGTGATTGAAGAGGTTTTACGAGCGGTATTTTTGAGATCTATCTTAATCCAGGCTGTAGGCTGAAGCTAACTGCAATAAGGAGCAGCAACTTAGCCCATTGGGTGCTGTCGAGACGGGAATTCTTGGTGGTACAATGTTACTAAAGGTATCTTTCCGAAAATTCGGATTTCGCGATATTTTCAGGAAGTGAGCAACCCGTACGCTGCGCTAAATTGCCTGGCGCGAATCGGATGGGAAAAATTGGCCGGCGAGATTTGTCGCAACGTGGCAAGGGGTGAGGGAATTTCAATCAGAAAACATAATTTGAGCGTCGCGATTCTTCAGGCTACAATGACGAGATGTTGGTCTGCGGTCCACAGGGAGCACAAACAATGCCCTCTAACGCAACGCACCCACATTTGGAATTGAACAATGGCGATTCAGACTAAATATTTTTGTCGCCCCCCGTTTGCATCCCATTGAGATAATCCCCCCTTTTGTGTGCGAAAGATACGGAGACGTTTAACAAAAAACGATTTATTACAGCATGTAAGCGGCGCACGGTGGGGTCGGAGGTTTATCACAAAGCTACAAAAGAAAAGTTCAGAAGATTTTGGAACATTGTGGTGTTTTCTAATAATCATAAGCGTATGGGGCCGAGCGTTTTCCAAGGGATTGTCCGGCAAGGCTGTCGAAATAGCGCTTCTGCGGGTAGAGAGACCTAAAGAGTAAAAAAAAATGTAATTTTATCTAAATCAGAATTTTTGCCTCTTTCCGAACGAGTCCAAGAACGGGTTAACAGCTCGCTTTCCGACCGAATCCATGAATGGGTTGATGGCGCGACGAGCTCGCTAAAATTGATATATTGCTGAGAATTGCTTGCCAGTGGCCTTGTCCCTTGGTTTTTGGTTACTCCAGGAATAACTAGCGCTAGTCTAAATTTGGCAGACTATAGGATTATAATGTGTATGCGCTTACGATCGAGGCTTCACTCGACGCGAACAGGCCAGCCATCACGATGGAGAAGAGCAGGAAGCAGATCTTCGAGAATTGCATATCGAGCCTGGGTACCTGTAATGGTGGTTGTTAATAGAAGATCTTAAATGAAAACTTGATTTGTAATAACATACAACTGAAGAGATTAACCTCATTTGATTGAGGAAAGAGGGGTGTGGCTTCAGTGGGTGGATCAACACCAGAAAACTTATATCTCAGATTTCCGCTGTCATGGGTTCAGGTTTTTGCGCAAGGCTTAGTCATAGCCGACCCCAAAAAAGGTTAATTGGGATTAGGGCCCAAAATTGACGTCCAAAACTTTGCCAGAAAACCATACGCTTGAATTAAGGAACAGGTGCAGCGGGGAGGAGGGTATGTGCCCGTGTTTTGGGGGGGGAGACTAAAAATGGGCGCCCTGGATGGACGTTTGATTTCATATTTATGTTGCCGGATGAACAATCGGATCTAATGAACACACGGGCCGGGGCGTCAATTTTTAAGCCGGTGTTGCGCAGAAAAAGGGTGGGTCCCCGAAGACAATGGCTAACGAGAATGCATTCTGGCGCGGTGCCTCCCCACGTGCGCCACTGTGCCAGAGGTTTCCGAATGTATTTTTTGTTCAAGATCTCGGAAGATCGGGGATTGTTATTTAAAAATATGACTAGAGCGGTGTTGGAGGATGACTGGATACTGTATTCCGGCGGTTCAAAGCATAAATTATTTCTTGGGGATTACTGACTTGACCCCCCCCCCCTCGTTAAAACAGGTAGCACGGAACAAGATTTTCTGCAAGAATAACCTAATATATTCTCGAACTAACAGGACAAAGACGAGACGACGACTAGCCGGAATGGCCCCCGAAAATTCAAGGGCCCATTCTTCCAAACCGCCGCCTCGAACCCCGACCAGAGCAACTCTGAGGTGTTCCACCGAACCCCTTGGCCGATAGCTCGCACAAATGAATTTCCGCCCACAATCCGCCCACGACAAAAAACCCCAGCCTTACGAAGCCATTTCGAGGGCCAAGATGGCGGTTACAGCACCTAACGGATGTGTCAAGGCGAATACCCCCCGCGGAAATTACCCGCGCAAACCCGGCTATTTGCCGCGCTGGGCCCCCTCATGGGCCCCCCACGAATTTATGCATTCTAATCATTCGCAGAATATTTGTCTAGCAATAGTTGGAGAAGAAAGGGGGATGTGGTGTGGACAATCGAAAAATAAGGGCATCGTAATAATTGAGGTGCGGTAGCAAGCCGAGGGTTACACAAAAACGTCAAGGTACGAAAATATCCACCTCAAACGTCAAACTTGATAACGAAACATTATGGGAGCATGTTATTCAACTAACATACGGTAGCCACTATATCGGCAACAGCGTAGCGTTATTTTACCACGCCGTAAAAAGTGATCCTGTTCCTGAAAAGCCAAGACTACCTCACAAATTTCCTGGGAATATTTTCATCAAATTGCGATCCAAGTCACGCGTTCAGTTTTTAGAGCGTAAAACCCCCAGGGACGTGATTAGGGCCCTTCGAAAGCTTTGCAAAACGGAGGACCGAAGGCAGTAAATATTTTAAAGGAAAACTTAGCCGCAAGCGGTATATTATTCATGGGGTGACGGACAAGCGTCTGTTGTTTTACAAAACCAAGTAGAATTAGGTGTACTTTGTGCCTCAGGAATGATAAGCCTTGGTTGTTAAAACCTATTTTTGGCTGACTATGAGCTGGGTAGATCGGCGGTGATTCCGCGCCTTCTGCAGTAGTGTAACAAAAAAAAGCGGAATCGTCGGTCCGGGAAACATCTCTAGGGCCAGATTACCGGCAGAGTCCGGATTAACACCAGGAAATACATATACTCGGCGGGACTACCGCCGTTTCCAGAATGCGACCGGAAGGAAGGATGGACTTTTTGTCCATCTGTGCGGAGTCTGCGCATGCGGGGTTTAAGAACAGGATGTCAGTCCGAGGTTTCCGTTGTCGCGACTCTGGTGAATATTTCATCCCCAAGGTCTTCTTCATGAAAAGGTCCATCATCCATATTCGCAACGCATTAGGCACTCATTACTTAGAGTTAGGGGATGGGGGACTTCGAAGCGGGGGGAAAGGCTAAGAATGGGGTAGGGAGCATAACTTGATTTCTAAGGACCCTCCGCCTCCTTCTTCCGGAGCCTGATCACGTGCCGAGACGGAGGCTTTTTTGGAGATGAGTTTGTATGGGTGTGTAGTTGAAAATGACTAACAAGTGTGTATTTATTGGAGGACTTCCGGTTAGACGCCGGGGCTTCAGTCGTAGTCTAGGAACACGGGTTTGTCAGAGAATGCCTTTGGTTGTTTCGCCCAGGGTTTCCAACCTTTGGCTTCGGGACCAACGACCTGGAATGGATCAGAGGTTAAGGGGGATGTTAAAGTGGTATGGGTGCGTGGGAATGAGCAAAATAGAGCTCAAGTTTTCCCCCCTTTGAATTTATCATTATCTAGTGAGTGGGTCTCGTGAGCCAAACCGATATGTTTTGATTCAAGATTTTTGTCGGGTAAGGATAAAAAATATTTGCATAATCAAGACCATTAAGAACTTTTTTGAACCTTCAAATTTTTAGTAAACCCTACGCCTCCAAGCTTTCCATCCGGATTCCTCAGCCTCGGGTTACTCTGCGATCTTGGGATACTCGCAAACGCATTTTCCACCGGCGATATCTTCCTCAAATTATCGCTGCTCGCCGGGTTCCTCCGAATCGGCGTCGGACTAAAGATCACATTCTAAAACACATTCTATTCCGGTCACACCGCGACATTCCCGGCAGATCATCGTCATCACGAAAGGCCTTGCTTCCGGGAGTACGACGCTGCGAGATGCCGTCACTGAACATACATATACTTTTTGTGCATTAGAATAATGGGTATCCGGGGTGGAGGCTGCTCCAACAATGGCCATGGTTTTTGCTATTTTTACCCGTCTCCGCGTGCTATGCGACGTGCCCCATCCTCGGGATTGCTTCGCGGGCGCGACATAGGAGTTCCGATCTGCAGTGCAAAAAGTTGAAATTACGGCTGCTGGGGGGCACCTTAAGTATTTCCGGGTCCGGCTGGAATTTAGGGCGCGGTTGTGGGCGTGATGACGGCTAAATTGTCGTACTTTAGTTAACAAGGGGGGGATGTCTAGAATTGTTACGTCTTTTGGACCATCCATAGGGGTTCGTGCAGGCACGGTCAGTGCGTCGTTGCGTTTCTTGGGTTGAAAACGATGAGGTGGGGCCTCCTAAACGGGGGCTGGGAGTTCAGGAAATGTACTAGATATTTTGCCTCTTTCCCAAGAATCGGTTCGTCTTCGATACGATTACGTCGGCGCTTCGAGCTCTTTTTTGGGCTTGGTTTTTTATTTGGTACAAAGCGGCTAGAATCGGTAAAATTAAAAAGGTGAAAAACAAACTGAGCAGCAGCTTGGGGCTCTTCTTCATTATCCGAGTCGAATACTCCCATATCCATTGGAATTCTGCAAGAAAAATTAGTAGATGAGGTAGAGAGGTACTTGTTGTTATGCTGGAATTTAAATGGCGATCTTGGGCGTTTAATTGCAAGGGGAACGACATTAGGCATCACTTCTAAATCTAAGGAACTCCTTCTACTGAAAATTCGCTCAGTTACCTGGGATAGGAGAGGCAGAACTATCCACAAGTTCAGGCTTCAACATAATCGGCGGTGGAGGCGGAAGGGGAGGTTCAGGTTCGCTCTCATAAACAGGCGGGGGTTCCTTGATTTGTCGCTTGATCTGGTCTACATATTCTGTGCGATGAATTTCATCATAGCGACGCGTCCGTATGTCGATGTTGATTGGGATGTCAATTGGGTCGGAGTTGATCATCTAAAAACTCATTGACTCGACAATATGTTTACCCTTGGTGATACCGGTTGTGGTGGTAGTGAGACTGGGGCTCCGGCAGGTTCGTAGATAATTTTCTCAACCTCCTTGATCCTTTCTTCAACGACCGTTCTGACTTCGGGATCAAAATCGGTCATTGTGGCTGGCAAAAATAAACTTAGTTTGCTTATAATTAAGGTACCTTTATTATCGGTATCCACTGGAATATGGGCTGTTCCTCTTTCAATAATTTGCGGCTCAGAAGAATGGATCGGATGGTGAGGTTCTTGTATGAAGTCCGTTTGTAGTGACTTCGTCACGGTGCTGACTTGTCTTGGTATAGTTTCTACAGCAGCCACTTGTTGTTGCATATTATTCGTTCTAAAACGATCGTAAGATTTTCATAATGGAAATATATCAAACCTGCAGCCAAAGCAGCACCAGCAGCACATACAAAGGAGAAGCAGTAATAGAAGGGCGCCGATAATAGCCAAGATCCACCACGGGATGCACCAACCAAATATTTCAACCCCTCCAGAACGACAGGAATCTAAATTATAAAGAAAAAGTCTTATTACTTGACCTACCGCTTGCTTCTGTAGAGCTTCCGGGAGAATGAGTCCTAAAGCAGCCTTGGTATGGAAATTACTTAGCAAAGTTACGTCTGAGCCCCAGCTCCAGAAGTTTTAGCCGTCGTCTGCGTGCCCGCGCCTGATGAAGCCGTGGATGAGGTTGCGATGTTACTGCTCGATCCTGTGGTTAGAGTAGATGCTCCAGTTGTTGTTGAGAGATTTCCCGCTGGCGTCGAGGTCGTGTTCGATGACCCCGTTGTTGCAGTAGTCGAACTCGTAGTGAATGTTGAACTGGAATTTCCTGAAGTCGTGGGATCCGTTGTCGTAGAAGCCGTGGTATTGAAAGTGGTTCCAGTAGATGTAGACGAGTTCGACGTTGTGCCGGAGGTTGTGGTGAACGTGGTAGCGCTTGTTGTAGAGGACAGGATTGTCGATGTGTTGCTGTTTGCATCGATGGGCGGGATGACGATGTTGGTCAAATTATCTTAAAGATTTTCGGAAAAATTTTTGAAATTAACCACTGGGCGTTGTGCTGTTCAGTGGTGTTATCGTTGTTGTGTTCATCGTTGAAGTGGGTGTGGAAATTGTTGTTGAGTTACTGGCGGTAGTCGTGTTAGTGGTCGTAGATGTGGTGGAATTAGCCGTCGTAGGACTAAATATATAAATAAGTAAATATTTAAAGCTACAAACTTACGTGGTAACAGTGGTTGCATTGCTTGTTGTTTCAGTACTATTATCCTGATCAATCGTCCAATCGGTGCTAGTTGCATTCGAAGATTCGGTCGTTGTCCAAAAACTGGTATCAGTGGGCTCATCGCAAGAAACCAGAGAGCTACAGTAGTCTTTGCTAACCATCGCTGAACCTCCTTTTACAATACAAGTTTTAGGACCCACGTCTATCACACAACACAATTGTCGAAGCATTGCAATCCCCGAATCCAATCTTGTAATCACTGGGCTCTACATACGAGCAGCGATCCCCATTTGAATAATTCTAAAGGGAAGTAAATCCTGTTTTAGCCGATTATCTTACCCCCTCCAAAAAGTTTTCGCCAATTACATCTGGGATCAGGCCGTAATATTGATTTCCAGGGCAGACACCGGCAAGGAGTGCGGTTTCAACATTGGCAACGACAATACCAATCAGAATTGGTTCGGATATGCGCTATATGAGAATGTGATAAATTGCAGTGATAAATTACTCCTTGGAGGTAGCTTAGGACGGACTGTGTTTGGGATTCGTTTAAAAATATAGCCATATGTCCACCGACGGCGGTACAAGCATCATCAGCTGCAACCCAGCCGGGGGTTGTCAACATATGGATCTGGAAATTAACATTTTCTTACTTATTTTGCTTGCTTTCCGATACTTATTATACCATTCACCTTTTTTCAGCGACTTTCTCGAACGATTTTGGACAGAGTCACCATTTGTACTCTACCTTCTCACGAGCATTACCCCCCAACACCCTTCATACTCCAGAAAAATCCAGACCAATACCAAAAACTTTATAACAACTTTATTTTGCTTCCTTCGCATACTACAAATCTCCCCGCTCGGAAAAATCACCTCATAACAGTGCTGGTCGATCACTTGGCCCCCACATGTGCAGTTCTCTCCATAGAGAGTGGCCCAACTCCCTAAAATCGATTTTCCATTAACCGGTAACGGACACCGGCGTCCCGGTTTCAACCCCATTTACGCCTTTAATTCCTTTCACGTAAACCCCCGGGCATACTTCTAGCATGCGGTCTGCCGAACTTGCCTAACCTCACCACCACCGGCCCCTAGCCTTCCCGCGAAATTATTGTTTTCCCTCCCAATCCCTCATGTTATTCCCCCAACATGTACTTTGAAGAAAAATTAATATACATTAAGCAGACCTGTGAAATGGAGAAAGAGCCAAATCCACATCTGTTGGGCCCGGTTGGATGCCTTTTGATCTGGACCCCGGGGTGGTGCCCCATTTTGCCGCCGAACTCTATGGAAATTCCCAAGGATACCCGAATTCCGAGGGCCAAAAAATGCTTGGAGATGGCTCAAGAATCCTTTTTTGATGGCGAATTTGGGTGAAGGGTGAAAGGGGGAAACGAAGTGGACGCTGGAAATTTGGAAAACCAGGCAAGGCTCGATGAAAAGGCATTTTCTGATGTTTTAATTCGAAAACCTCCATGACGAGGGGTACCAGCTAGATTGAAAAAACCGAGCTCCACGAAAAAAAACGGCCGATGGGGAGGGAACGGCGAAAAATATTTTCTCGGCAGCCCTTTTTGGCGTTTTGTGGTCAGGTGCAAATTAACTGCCGCGCCGCCCCTACGGCTAGGAGAAGGCCAATATCGCCTGACTGGACACGGAAATCAAGCCATTCCCTCGCGCCGCTAATTTTTGCGAGTTCATTGTTTTAGTCAGCTCCCAAATACCAACCGGTTCGCACTATCGATTTTTTGGGGTTGGTTTTCCGGGAGAAAATTTGGGTGAAGTGGGTGATATCTGGGGTTTAGCTTGTGAATGTTGGGTGGTTTTGTGTGCGGCTATTTTGCGGGGTTTTCTCTCAGGGTTTTCAAAATTCGAATTTCAGCGACGGCTGCTGGCAGATGGGTAATGCAGCAGCGGTTCAACGAGCCCATGATGACCATGCACATACGGTAGGGATTTTTTTGCTACGATTTTTTTGGTGTTTTAACACATTTTTTATTGTCGTTAACAGGACTGCTAAGGATAGCCGTCCTACAGTGGACCTTTTCCATAGCTTACTGGATATCTGGTCTTTTTTAATGTTCCATCACGATTTATATTTCTGGACAAGTCACTGCTGTTTTAGAGTTAAAAAGAGTTGTTGCCTAACTACAGCGTGACATTCGAATTCCGTAAGGCTACAACATACGCAAATTCCAGCTCCGCCATGGCTCCTCTAAACACTCCCGCAACATCGACAAGGAGCTGGCTAAAGAGAAAAACGACAACCAGAATCGCTTCAAAATCCTGCTGCTCGGCGGGGCGGAAAGCGGGAAAACAACCATCTTCAAGCAGATGAGGTAGGCATCCAGCCCTTTAATGCCATTGCGAAATTTAGAATTCTTCACATGAATGGCTTCAACAATGAAGACATTGCCCGATACCGACATTGGATCCACAACAACACTGTTGAAGCTCTGTTCGCCCTTTCAGAAGCCGCCAAGGCCCTGCAATTACCTCCCGAACGGGCCCTTGAGGTTGAAATAACCATATTTCTAGTGGAATTTTTAGGAAGAATTACAGCAATTCCTCCGGTTTCGCGCCGAGGCCCAACAAAAAGAAGCAGCGGAGGAAAATGTGGGTTTTCAAAATTCCGGATAAATATTTTTAGTGGGAGATATCAGTGGCAATGTCGAAGGTGATGGTTCGGGTTTGGGAAAGTCAAAATATGCAGTTGGCCTATGCAAAGCGATTCACCTTTCACCTACCGGATTCCGCTAAATAGTATGTTGATCATTGTTCCCTTTAGTTTTAGTTTCCTCGATGCACTGATACGAATCTGTGGCGAGGACTACCAGCCAAGTGAGCAAGATATTCTGCACTGCCGCTACCGTACAACGGGTGTCAGCGAGATCAGTTTCGTCTATCAAAAGATTAACTTCCTGTAAGTTTCGAAAAAAGAACTGAATGGACAGAAGGGCGGCCCTTGATCCCATTAAACATAGGGTGCACCTGGCGGGCAACTCTCTCCGGTTTGCACCTGGTTCAATTTGATGACAAAGTATGGGGAAAAATGTTCACTTCCAGCATGGTGGATGTTGGTGGGCAACGGACGGAGCGGAGAAAGTGGATGCATTGTTTTGATAATGTGGATATGATATTATTTATTATTGCTATATCGGATTATGATCTTTTGGATCCGGAGGATGAGAAAAGGGTTGGTAATTATGGTCCATAAATTTTTGAAGAAAGCATGGAAACGGTTTGCCAGAAAGATAATGGGCTTTTTCAAAACCGTTTTTAGCAAAGTATCGATAATTTTTTTTGACGAATCGTTATAAAATGTGGTCACCTTATTTTATAGAATCGTATGCTGCAAAACTTTGAAATCTTCCGCACAATCGTCACCAGCGATTTCTTCCGCCACTGTGCGGTAGTCTTGTTCATGAACAAATACGACATATTCCGGGAAAAACTTACAAGAGCGTCCCTCCGAGGATGCTATCCAGAATACAAAGGTGGATATCATCTAAATAATTTCATACACTCGTTTCAGGTGATAACTCGGTTGAAGACGCGACAGCTTTCTTGCAAAAGAAATTTCGACGCTGCATCAGTGATCGGCACAAGTATTATTCATTCGAAACAACAGCCACCGACACCAACCAAATTGATCTCGTCTTTAGCAGCGCTGTTTCGCACATAATCAGCGAAAATCTCCGTTCAACCGGCCTTCATGAATGATTCTCCCATTACTGGTCCGCTTTCTTGTTTTGGACTGGATTTCGGCGCCTCTCAAGAAAAAACGTGTCAAATTGTCTATTTAATTGTGAATGTTTTCTGCTTTCCTTTTCTCAATTGTTTGTTACAACGTTTCAAAATGACTTCGATGCGTGTGCTTGCATTTTTGTTTTTGATAAATTTTATTTCGCTGCAGAATCCACTAAACTAGCCCTGCTTTTCGAGCCATAAAATAGAATTCGGAATGTTTGTTGGCCAATAGGGCCTTCGGTGAGTCGAACTCCTTGATACGCCCTTCGGATAGCACCAATATTCTATAAAATGCCGATTCACTTTGGAAATTAAAAATAGAAAACTAAACTGTTTGCGAAAGAAACCGGATGATCGCCGTGTTTCTATTACACGTGGGTAAGCGCTGGAATTTTCATTATTGTTCCGACTACTGCTATACTCCGACGCCATTTGAGTCATGATCAGGGGGAGATTTCAAATCCCTGGTTTTTGAGCAACAAACCTGTCGTAATCCAAGATAGTGTTGAGTCGATGAGCAATAGTAAGCACAGTGCTTTCGGCAAACTCTTCGCGAATTGTTTTTTGAATTAGTGAATCTGTGTTATGATCCACTGCGGCTGTTGCTTCATCAAGCACCAAAACTTTTGACTTTCGTAGGAGCGCTCGAGCTAGGCAGACAAGTTGCCTTTGGCCAACACTAAATGCAAATAAACTAATGTAATTTAATTTAAGTCGAACCTAATATTTTCACCGCCCTCGTTAATTTCATGATTTAATTTATCCGGTTGTGCCATGGCGTAAGGTTTCAGGTTAGCCATTTCCAAAGCTCTCCAGATTTCGTCTTCTTTGTAACGATCGAATGGGTCCAAATTGAATCTAGAGAGCAGATCATAGTCATTTCAGGAAAAATACCGCAAGGTTCCAGAAAACAAGACAGGATCCTGAGGTATAATGGTGATGTTGCTCCTCAAATCATGCAGTCCGAGCTTGTTGATGTCCACACCATCAATAATAATCTGACCATCCGCCGGTTCAATCATACGGAACAGAGCCAAGGTAATTGACGATTTTCCAGCACCGGTACGTCCGACAATCCCAATCTGAAAATTTTCACCTTAATCGCGTTTATTTCCTAACCTTTTCATGTGGTCCAATATCCGCAGTTAGCTGCTTGATCACCAAATCCAAGCCCTGTCTGTATCGGGTACTGTAATTACGCAACTGGATGAAGCCTGTCGCTGGCCAGTTTGGCGGTGGCTCGTTGCCAGGCTCGCTCTTCCATTCGGCTTCAGATGGAGTATCAGAATATTCTTTGACTCTTTCAACAGATACAATATTCGTTTCAAGCTTGCTAATGGAGCGGACGGCAAAGTTGAGGACAAATGTGATCTAGGAAGAGTTAAAGTTTTTAATATGGTGCCCTACATTTAGTGAATAAGACACCGACAGTCCGATGACACCACTGGAAATCGAATCCCTCATCAATGATGCAAATAGCGCCGAGAAGAATACGACGCAATTTCCGATAAATTCCAGCCGAACGGAGAGCCAGCGATTAGCCACATAGTTCAAGTATCGACATTGCACATGCGTATCCAACTTTTGTTCGGAGATTTTACTGAACCTTTCGGTCAAGCGATAAGCACGGATTGTGCTTGAGCCCTTAAAAAGGTATTCCAAACGTCATAAATTTTACCTGGATAGTTTCGGATAAATGACTATAGACCGGGGATCTTGTCACGGATTCTAACCGCTTCAGCTGTCGAGAAGTGGCTAAGTAATAGCGCTAAACCGGTATTTCACGATAAAGAGAAATAATACAATACCAGAACAATAAAGTATAGAAGGGCCAATGGGATTACCACAACTCCAAAAATAGGTGTACTCAAAATAATGATAAACAGCGTTGAAAGCACCTAAAAATTGGATTGAAATTCTCGAAAACGATACCTGCAAGATACATTGGAAGAAGAATTGGACATTGAAGGGGAGCTGGATATCAATTGTTTCGATATCTTTTCCGATGCGGTTTAGGATTCTGCCGAAGGGGGTTGTGTCGAAAAACGACATTGGGGCTCGGAATACGGATAGGAGAAGCGGGCTGTGAAGGTTTTTGGAGGCTGCCACACCACCATATAGTAATGAAAGCATTCCGAAGAAGAGAAGGAATACTGGAATTCAGTTTATTAAATAGAGTTATTTGTTTTTTTTTACTCTATCGAATCTGTTCGCTTTGATTTAAAAAAACTTATATTAATACAGGTTCTCCAATTCTTTGTTCTCCATTTCTCTGACTTTTTCTCTCGTTTTTTGAAATAAGTACACAACTAACAATACATCCCAATGTTTTTTACCGTTTCACACCGTGTTTTCCCAAAATTGTGTGGAAATCCGGGTGTTGTGGTTGGGTTGCCGGGCATCGAGAAAGCTGTTGGGGCAGCCAACACGAAGACCTACCGCTGCCCAAATCCCCCCGCTTTCTTACCTACCCCTCGACTCAACATGGTGGTCCCCGAATATCCCCTCAAACGGCGAGATTTTCCCGGGAGCTCCCGGTGGGTAATAGTCAGAGGCAGGGGCGTAGCCAGGAAAAAATTTCGGGGGGGCCCCCAAAAAATTTTTCCAAAAAACTCAAAAGATGAACGAGAAAACAGCGACAAAAACAAAACTTTTTTGAAAAAGAGGTTACATAGCTCTACAAATAGCCGTAAAAACGTGAAAAAATAGCGCCGCAGGCAGAAAAATTTTTGAGAAAATGAAAATCATAAGGGTCCCCCCTTATGAAATTTTCGGGCCCCGGCCGATTTCGGGGGGGCCCCGGGCCCCCGGGGCCGGTATTACGCTACGTCCCTGGTCAGAGGTATTGGCAAAAGACTTTTTTTGAAAACAAGCCATGAAAATCGAATTTTTGCGCTAACGTACGATTATAAGCTATTAATAAAATTTTTTAATCTATACTTTCAATTTTATTATATATAATTTTTGCTTTTTACCTTCACTGAATCCAAGCACAGCATAAACACCCAATCTCATTCCGACATTTGAAGCTGTTTGATTTTTCGATGCAGCCCGAGTGTTGTCGTTTGACCTATATCAAATTCAATAAAACTGAACAAATAATATTACCAATCGGTGAGCCATAGATTTCTGAACATCGACATTATCGTACTAATTGTCATCCCAAAAATGAACATCCAAAACAGCGCAGAGCCCATCGATTTGAAATATTGGGCGTAGATTTCGAGCTTGACGCGACCGACTTCAACCCTTTCGGCTTGTGTTAGTCGCTTGCTCGGATCATGAATTGTTGTGCCGGTGATGGAGGAACTAAAAAAAAATCGAATTTCAAGGTATCATAAAATACCGCGTGCTCTGCTTTCGTTTTCTTTTAGTCGAGACACTGTATTTCCTGCGGTTAATGATTCCTGAGACAGTCGACATATGGGACGTACCAAACACCTAAAATGTATTATAAATTAAATAATATTAAATATATTATCACATACCCTATCCATTGGAGAATCAGCCGCCAACAAATCTTCATGATCAAATGAATCGGTGTCGGAGTCAATGAAAACCCCTTCCTCTTCTTCAGCCAAAACCTTCTCCTTTCGATCCTTATCCTCAGCTTCGCACTCCTCTAACAGTGTCGTCAATGCTCCACTGGCAACCAGTTCCGCGTAGCTACCCTCAGCATCAATCTTTCCATCCTTCATCACCAGGATTAAATTTGAATGTCGTAGATAGCCCATTTCATTGGTCACCAAGATTCGGGTCTTGTTTCTCAGCATCCCGTCGGGGCCAATCACGGAATGGAACATTTCTTCTCCAACGGTTGCATCAACAGCTGACATTGGGTCATCAAGGATGTATACATCGTGGTTTTGGTATACTGCTCGAGCCAAGCTGATTCTCGCCTTTTGACCACCAGAAAGGTTGATGCCCTATACAAAAAAAATAATTGCTCAATTGATCACCAAATGCTACCTTTTCTCCGATTTCGGTATTATCAGCTTCCGGTAATATAGCCAAATCTTTAGACAGCGAGCAAGCGTAGAGTACACGCTCGTAGAAATATCCATCAAACTTCTTGCCGAACGTGATGTTAGCACGAATCGTGTTGTTTTGCATCCATGGCTGTTGTGGTACATATGAAATCCGTCCACACAATCCCAAATATCCTTTCACACGATCCATTTCGCCTAAATATATCGATTATATAGTGCTAAAACATTACAAACCGAGTAGCGCTTGGCACAAACTACTTTTCCCAGCTCCAACTCGCCCCACTACGGTCACCAGCATTCCTCTTTGGACACTGAAGTTCAGGTTCGTCAATGATGGCGCATTTTCATCATTGCGATCCCAGCTCATTGTAGCCTCTTGAGCAACGATCACATCTTCGTCTATAAAGCACTACTAGGCCTTGTGATTTGTCTTACTATCTCTAGCCGAGTTATCGACAGACTCCGCCAATTCCTCGGAAACCAAAAACTCCTTCAATCGCTTGTTCGAGACAAAAACCTAAGTAAAGTTAAGCTAATAGGCTATCCATAAATCCATCAAACCTGGACAGTCTGTGAAATCAACTCGGCTACAGTACTCATTGGTGTGCGTAGCTGATTGAAAAGTGTTAGAGACACAAAAGCAATAGTTGGGGTCAACACATTTTTAGGATCGAGCAGAATAAAAGTGGTGAACGTCGATAACGCCACCTACAAAGGCATATTTAGGTTGTAGGACTAATTTTCTTACCAAGAAAGGTGAAGCCAGGTTAAGCATATCAGAAAATGTGCGTAGAAAGGCAGCCTTTTTGATCAACCCCAATTCTTTGGCGCGAAGTTCTTGAATCACTTTCTCCATGGGTGGCTCCCAGGCGTAGAGTTTTATGACCTAAAGCGACATTTAACATATAAAGCTTTGCTAATTACCTTGATTCCATTCAACACCTCGTTAACCATTTTTGTTCTCTCATCTTTGTAGTACATCTGGAGAACTTGCCATTTTCGGACCATCATCGTCACAAAGAAATTGATGGGGAGTAGAAGAACCATGACCAGCATTCCCGAAATTACTGCCACTCCAATCTGCTTCCATAGCAGGAATAGGGAAATTCCAATCTAGTAAACATTATTTCATGAGTTGATGCTTTTTACCTGAAGCGGTGTACTCCAATATTGATGGATGGAAGGTGTGATTTGTTGGAATCTATCAATATCGATAGCCATTAGGTTGACAATTTCGCCTAGCGTCTTCTCTTTTCTAGCCGAATTTGAAAGGCAAAGGGTCTAAAAATGTTTACAATCTGAATAATCCAAAAACTATAGATACTTTCTTGTAAACGGCAGCGGTCAAAACCGCTTGGACTCTGGTTCCAATCCGTTGCATTAGGTAGAAGTAAAGATTCAGCAGTAGGGAAGAAAATTCGGAAGCCGCAAACATTGTCATTGCGAGTCCGACACCATGCCACATTGGTCGATGGAGTTCTTCCGTGAATTTGATCAGGGATTTGAGGAGGATGGGGTTGACAAAGGTCAGAAGATCGGAGAATAGCTTCACGGTCATAGCCGTGGTTAGATCAAATTTGAAGAGCGTTGTGAGTTGTAGAAGGATAGATGGAGCTGGGACGTCAGGTTCAGTGTGAGTGGGAACGGTACCGTAATCTAAATTTCAGGCTCCATATCAAATCAATCATGTCTTGCCTTCCGTATTTCCATTTCTTATTAACGGAGTACGATCGTGGCTGTCATGTCCGTTCATACCCGGAGCGGGCCTTAGCTTTAGCCGCTCGGCTAGCTTGACTTTATAATCTGAAATTTAAAATTGTATTTTCTGGAATTTCCCTCTAACAGACTTGCCATCGCCACCTTCCATAGTTTATTCCATTTTGGTACCAAAACTGCCGATTGATCATCCGGGTTCAACCCATACAAGTCTGGAACTTCCAATGGCTTTTTCATGCCTTTCACACAAAGCGTATTGAACCACCACATTATTTGACGATTCAAAAACGAAGAGGTCATTTCTGGGGAGGGGTTCTAAATTATTATTTATTGATCAAAGCCGATTTCCACCTCAATCTCCTGATCCCCAATTTTGATGTATTCATCGTGCGGGGTATCGGCAAAGGAGAAGAGTACCGTCTGCACCACCACGCAAAAATACCAGATGAAGAAGGCAATCTGACGTGAGAGTGCCCCGAGTGCATGTTTCTAAAAATTAATTTAAAAAGTTTGGATTAAGCCACTTCAGGATGTTTCCCAGCTTGAATCCAATAGTAAAGCTCCGGAACTCCGCAAATCGCAAAAAGCACCCATGTGAGAAAAAGGCCGCCCGAAGTGACGTAGCCGTAAGTACGGCAGGCCCAAATAAATACCGTCATTATGCACTAAAGAATTTGTGAAACGCCAATTAAAAAATGATCCGTTGCTTACCATAGCCGTGAGTAGCATCAGTGGGTACACAAAATCAACAGGTCTAGGCAGCTCGCCAAATACTGAATCGTAGAAACATAACATTACTAGGAATAAAGCGTCGAAGAGGCAGACTAATGTAAGCAACTGGAAGATTTTTAAATTTGGTTTTATTACTGTTTAATTTTTAGCAGCAGAGACCCCCAGCTGACCCTCACTTACTGTATCACGGCTCCATGTTCGTCTACAGCGGCGGAAAGTATAACAAAATGTGGGTCTTGGCTTGGAAACTTTTTTGGTATACGTAACACCCCTATGGAACAACGAAGAGCCATGATACAGTAGGTGAAAGTCGCTAGGGGTCTACATTTTCGCCAAATTTCCCTTACCAATTTTGCGAAGATCAGCTTTGTCCAGGGCAAAGGTTGGGCCTTTTCCATATAGACTTGAGCCGAAATGATGGGTGCGGCTATGTAGAGGAATAAGCATGGGATAGGGAGTAGTACTGTATGAAGAAAGCATTGCGAGAAGGCGGGAATTGCTTCGTTGTCAAGGACCGAGGGATCCTACAGTGCCTTGAAATCTCTTAATCAAATTAGCTCACCCAAAATCGCTCTCCGCAAAATGCATCGATACCCGTTAGACGTTTTGATTCGAGTGCGCTTTCCATCAGTGCCCCATATAACAAAAGCGGTTGAGAGAATGGTAATCAACTAAAAGAAATTAAATAGTGTTTATCTATTTCTATGCAAAACGGAAACAATTGTGGTATGGAGTGGAAAGAGTTATCAATCGCGTGCAGTGGTTGGCCACTTTTGGTAGATTGACCTTTATTCTAAAGACAAAGACTTGGGGTTGATAATAGGAACTCGTGACTGATATGCAAATCTGAAGCTTAAGGAATCGGAGGGGTTTCGTCATTGCGGTAATAAATGATGATCAAAAAATGCTTAAGACGAAGCTATGAATGGTATCCTACTATATATAAAAAATAGTGTTTGTGTGTGTGTATGACACTTTGCATGCAACTTCCGTCAGGTTGTTCCAGTCGTATCTCAAGAAGGAGAGTAGTTAAGGTCAGGTTTGATACGTCATTAGGTGCATAATGTCCAGGAGATGACTGCACACAAATCAGATTTATGAAAATCGTCTATTTTCGACATTAAATTTTAGTTTTTGTTGAAAAATCCAACGCCCTCTTTGTTAGGAATCAATTAGCATATACCGGAAATGGGGATGGCCTATATAAAGTAGCAGAGAGCGTATTTTCACTTTTTTTCAGCGTGGGCGTGCCGGATTATGCAACGTGTAAACTTTCATTGGGTTGGACGGGGCCAGGGTTGAAAAGTCGCGAAGCGGCTTTTCAACTCTGGTCACAGTTTAATTCAAACAGCGTAGGAATTGTTTTATTTCCAAAATTGACAATTAACAAGCAGAATAGTGCATTGCACAAAATTTCTCTAAAAACGTGTCAAATTTTCTGATGATTTATAATGAATAATGATAGTATTTTACTAATGGAAGTCAGGTTCTGGAGACAGCGTTAAAATTAAATTAAAGAATTTCAATAATGCTGAAGTACCAATTTGTAATAAAAAGCATTGATTCGTAATGACCAGTAACAAAATCGTGGAATGCCGGTAATTAACGACCTTCCTGCCAATGGCCAGTCTAGATTGTCCTCCCGTTTTTCACAGCTTCTCCCCCAGACTCAACCCCCAGAAGCCCCTCTCGACCCGATAGGGGTTATCAGAAAAACCCTCGCGATCAATTATGCTGGGTATTATCTGTCGACCCACGGTGCCCGGGGTTCTCCCCGTGAATGTTTTCTATAAGGCACCGCTTTTTGTGTGTGGGGGTGTAGGCGAGGGGGCCCTGCGGACATATTGATATCAGGAAGATTGCGGAGAAACAGCATAAACTCGAAAAACGAACAACAACGCTGGTATTCAGCCCTGCCCACACGATTGATCCATTTTCGTTCCGGCGATTGTCGACTGATAGGTCAACGAGCCGTCTGTGTGTGTAGGGGCTTCTGATAACACTGCCTTGGCTGCCTGGATTTTTGGATTGTTGGACACGATCTTGATTTGGATTCATCATGTATGAGGTGCGCTCGTTAAACTATGGACCTTGAAGCTATTTTATTCATAAAAACGTTATTCTGCCTAAAAGAAGCGAAAATTTTAAGACTAATTTTGCATCGAAAAATTTTGCATCATCTACCGTAATTATTGTTATTATAGGATCACACTGCGCTCTCCAAAAAGTCATTCTGCTACAAAATTTTGGTGATCGGCGATCCTGGCACCGGAAAGTCAAGCATTATCCGCCGTTACATCCATGACGTCTTCAGCCAAAACTACAAAGCAACGGTGAGTAGAACTTAACGATTAAAACAGTATTTTATATCAATAAGTTTATAAATAAAATTATTAATTTTTGTATCATTATCGCACTCTTCCAGATAGGTGTCGATTTTGCCCTCAAAATCCTGGTCCTCGATGAAGAACGCATGGTTCACCTCCAAATGTGGGACATTGCCGGTAAGTGATAAAAATTTATTCGTAACGCTAAAAGGCAAAATCGAGTATTTACAAACATAAAAACAAGTGATAGAACCGAAAAAGTCGTTCAAATTGGTGTCCATAGAAGGTTTCCGGCAGTAATATGATATGAAAGAATAGGTAAATGGGGGCAAAAAAAGAAGGGGGATATCGGCTAAAATTATAAAAAGGCTTGAGCATACTATTCGGGACATGTTAGCGTCGGAGAAAGCGCTGAGTGGAGGGCAAAGATGGTGTGTGTGAAAACTGGCAGGTGGGGGGCGTGTAGCTTGGCAGAATAAAATAAGGCGAAATAAGGGATATTTTGGGGGGCTAATCACCGTTCTTCTTCGAAAGCATGGCCGATTTGTGTTTGAACCGCGTGTGATGTTAATCGTCGATGGTGATGGACGCCTTGGTTAGGGTTCGCTAGAGCGTAGCCATAGAAGCTAAACATTACTTTAAAAATTATTCTGGGATGGATAAATTGGCATCGAGAATTTTTTTGGCATTATCGGGAAAGACGTAATGTTTTCCTATAAGCCAAAGGATGCCTGGTAAAGTTATAAATAGTGATTGTGCCGAAAAGGTTTTTGCATTTTTAACAAACCTTTTTAAAGTTTCGAGACATAGGGATAGTAAAAACAATTTAGTAACACTTCTTCTATGTAAATTAGGAAATTTAGATTCTAAAAAAGTACGTTTGGACGATAACACCCCCCCCCCCGATAATGCGAAAGCACCAATTTCGTACCAAGGCTTGGAATTGAAAAGAAGCTTAAAAAATCTGATTTCAGAAAATTGGTTTTGATTTCCTCATTAATGCCTAGTTTTCCACTATCAGTCCGGTATCGTACGATTTCTAACGCGTAGCATGTGAGTTGCGGCCTTGGAACAAAAAAACTTTGTAACCTTTTGACAATATTAATTAACTAGGTTTTTATCTTATGAAGTTTTTTATTTTTAATTGTCCACATGCAATTTTTACATGTTTTTATACCTAAAATAAGGTAATTTGGCCCTCAAAAACTTACCCAGATTCAATTTGGTATGGCTGCCCGTAGAATCGCTTAGAAGTATGGTAGTAAAATGGGTTTTCATCGGCACTCCAGTACACAGATTGCTCCTCCATCGGCTGGATTGGCAACTAAACAAATGGTCAACGTCCACAAAAACAATGATTAAAAAAAATTGTGAGGGGCACGAGTTTGTCAGCAGAAATAATCCATGTTAACCGGATGTACGGCTGCCCTATTTCCTTGACCTTGACGTTATGCCACAAGCGTGTTATGCAAGTTTTTCAGGCGCTTTTCAAGGGGGAATTTGCTATGATAATAGAAAGCATGATGGTAGAGAGTTGGGCACACGGCACGAGAGTCACCTTATAGATGGTGAATTAGCTTGTGACACTTGCAAGGTCCTATAATATTACTTATAGGAATCGAATATGGCATAATATTGCGGTGGATAATAGAGATAGTTAGGGTATGTGGAATTGGCGGGGTATGGTCAGCAATCCGGCGGGTTTTTTAAGTCATAACTGGATTTTACAGGGCGTCAAAAAACACAAAGCCAAAAAATTTATCGTTTCGTCCCCTTTGTACATAAAATCGGCCAATAAATTTTTTCGTGATTTTAACGGTTTTTGATTATTATCTAAATCGACAAAAATAGATAATACTAACTATTTGCTGACCACAACCCTTGACAATTTCATTCTAACATACCGGCGATGTTCCTGGCGGTGGTGCCATCGAGTTGTACCGCAAACTGCCGAAATTTTCCTCAAGTGGCGCAACCACGGTCGAGTTCGTGGATGCAGATTTGTGATGCAAGATGTAGGATGATCTGAAAGCGATAGGTCAAGCGTTGTACGCCTCACCTTAGTGCACATATCGTTCCACAGAAAGTGGCAACCGCGCAAGCCAAAGTAGCACCAGCTGCCAGGATGATAGCAACCTAAATACAGGATATATATTCTCAGATCCAAGGTTATAACCTGAAAGATCGTTTCCTGTTCTGTGGAAGCGCGGATGATGTCTTGGGAATGAAGGAGTTGATACTAAATCAAGATTTAAGAGGTCGTCTTCGCTCTAATACCAGATAGAAAGTGTTGGTCATCGCCGACGAGATGGTAAAGTGAGCGATAGCAGCGACGATAATGTGGAGCAGTGTTGATGCAGCCAATAATCGTGGGTAGCAGACGCAGACAAGCTAGAATGAGCCTTCGATGTATTGATGAGGAATGAGACAAACCTGGACGATGAACACCGCTCCGGCCAGAGGACCATTTCCGAGTCGGAAGAAAGGAACGTCAATTGGGACTTCATTGTATCGCCACTTTCCGAGCTCAAACACGACGTAGCATCCGGTGATGACGACGGCGTAGAATAAGGTGCCAAGGGCAAAGAAGGTGTGGATTGCTAAAGCAATTTAAAAGCATTTTGGTAAGTTTGGGTACCATTTGAGTGACGATAGGTGCTAGATGGCAGCCGAGATAGAGCCCTCCCAAAGATGACGGAGCTTGCCAGGGAGGTCAGAGCTTCAGCTCCGAATAACTGAACGAGTGGTAGTTGAACCGGAGATTTGACGCTTACCCCTGTCTGAATCGACACCAACACGATTTGGCCAATAAATGTACGCTCAGGGCCCCGGGTGTAAATCGGATAGCTCGAGTATTGGTAGATCAAATTGACCGAAGCGCAGAGCTTCTCCACCGATATCCCCAGACAAACAATGTTCAGCACAAATTTGGTGCTCAGCATCGTGCTAAAGAGAGGGATGGCATGAAGCTATGGGTGTTTGCTATTACCTGTGGTTATTTGAGGTAAGGGCTCCAGTGACAAAGAAGAGGATACTGACCCAAAGAAGGTCTCCCCCAATAAATTCGCCACGCCATGATAGATCGAGTAGGCCGAGGATTACTAGGCCCATGAAGCCGGCAGCCCAAAGGATGTGAAGAGCAGAGAACATTCTGGCGAACTTCAGTATCGCCATTTATACACTTACTTTCCCTGCACCGACAGTCCTCTCTCAGCTCGTTGGTTCAACGACAAATAATCAGATTGTAGGAACGATCCAGTTGCCAAGGCCGACAAGCAGGATAGAATAAACAACAATCCAAAGCAGCCGATCAGCACTCCGTGGCAGACAATAATAATATATCTTGGGGAGCTGACGGAGGCAACGGATGGATCTAAAAAAACTTTTGAATATTTGTTTGGCCGAACCATTTGTCTGCTTTGCCAGATAGTAAAACTTCAAATCATTCTTGTAAAATGGGAACGTGTTCTGCTCGACGGTCTTCAGCGTCCACACAGCGGCAATAATAGACATGGCGATGGCCACCTAAAACATACTCGAAATGTCGAGGTTATTGCCTTGAGGTTGAGCAGCTGCTGGCGCTTCCCCCGAACGGCGAACAGGTCCACGACGGCTGAACAGATGCACAGCATTGCGGAAATGTGGTCCAACGCGATCTTGATGTACCGATTGTCGGCACTGGCGACCTGGGAAAAAGAATGATTGATTTTTTCGGGTTGATCAGGCTTACGTTCTCGTGCTCATACTCAACAAAGACGCAAAGGCCCAGCACGCCGACACCTAGTAATAATTTGATGGCGGCGATGGCGGCAAGTGCTTTCTTCGAGTTTTCGGCAGCAATTTCTACTTCCCGCTAAATTCACGATAATTAAGGTCTTTTGTTTCTTAAAGCTACATTTTGAGTGGGGTAGACCGGATAAGCAACGAGGACCAAACGATCAAGCAAGATAATTGCTATCAACGAGACAAGAGCGGCAACGGCTAAATAGTGGTATTCTACGGCTTAGATAATATTTAAACCTGGCACTCCAATCATAATCGCTGAAATAACGATCCTGCCCGTGTAGTTCCCTTCCTCCGCCCCAAATTCGGCATCAAAGCCGGCCGCATTTTGGAGGGATTGGAGGTTTCGCTTGGCATCCACAATGCGATACGTCGTGAACCCGTAGAAGACGGCCGTGGCCACTCCGATCACGATCGACACGCAGTAGAGGGTCTTTGTCACGATGCTACCATGGTTTCGAGCAATTGAATAGATACCTAAGAAGGATTATGGAGTTCGATAGGTTGTGGGACTTACCAATCAATCCTGTCAACGCATGGATCCAGTTCAAGATTCGCAAATCAATATCGCGGTAGTTATGAATGCCAACTCTTGAAAATTGACTTCCAGCCAGGCCTGCTGCCGCTAGACCGCATAATATTAACACAGCGTTGCATCCCTAAAATCAAAATTACTCCAATATTTAAAGCGATTATACCAATCCTAAATTTCTAGCCCGGTCTACCGACAATGGGACTGTGGGAGATCGAAACGGAAGCCTCGGGAATTCGGGGAATTTCGAGAAAAAGCCAAAGGTGCTTTGTTGTGTATCTAGCGACACAGTCGAGGAACCCATAAATGGGTTACAGAATCGTTGGCTTCAATCGTTCAAAGGGGGGTCGACTGGTTGAAGGGGGGCAATGGAGGGTGCGGGGTGTGGGTCTTGGCGCAAGCAGTTTATCCGCAAACAACGGCTTGGCATGTCGTGTGGGGACCCTGGCTGGGGTGCCCTCCGACTACCGGATTTTGATATCAACAATCGTAAGCTCCCCGGTCCCCCTCGACCCCTGGCTTAAACACGCTGGAAAATTAAGCACTTGGCTGTGGTTTGGGCTTCGGGTGACGCGAAAGAAAAGAACTACCTTTTTGCACTAAACTAACGCTTACTAGTTAGATTTCTACTAACGGTGATATGCGTTTCGAAGAAAACGTGTGCTTAGAATTTAGATAAGTCGCATTTTTCTTTGTTAAGGTCCAAAGAGCGAGAAACCAGTACTTTATTACTTGGTCTTTAGAATTCGCAGACAAAAAAATCAATAAACACAGATTCAAAACCTAACCCACAATTTTAACGCGAATATTAAAAGTGCGTTTGATTGTGATCAACATCCCAGGAGCACGAGCAATATTGAATGCCACCTAACAGGGCAATAGTGTCTGCCCCGGGTGGCCACAGCGGGGGAACGCCTTCCAAAACCCCCTTTTATTGATCAAATTTGCAACTCTGACCTCAAATCCCACCCGAAATTCGTAAATTTCATAACCGCTCATGCGACCTCATCAAGCTAAAAATACCGACCTGTATTTGACAGCTGTATGCAGACCGGGCACTCATTGCTGCGCGATCGTCTCTATCCCGTCTGTGGACACCAAGAATTCATGCCACAGTACAAATCAAGCGCCTAAATAGAAGAAAAGTACGTTTTTACAAAGAAATTCAAAGAAGATGGCCAGAAAAGACGAGGCGACTTTGATCGCGCGCGCCCCCGAGCCTTGGCTCTCACCACTTTACGAAAAGTAAATAAAGGAGGATCTATGGCGGCAGAGGGTTCGACACAGGGCTTGCTGTTTTCTTGGAAGATAAACAATGGAAAAAAAAACAAGAAAACCTTGAGTGGGGGGTAAGGATGAGGGGAGGTAAAATAGAAAAGTAGCAGAACGCTTGCACCTAGTTGACCATGTAACTCCACAAAATAGATTGGAGTTAGATGGGTGAGGGCGGATGAAGTACAACAATTTTATCATTTCGGAATCTGGATATTTGTAGCTTAAATCGAAATGAACGGTTATTAAAGGTTATTTACCTATTAATCACGTTTGAAAAAAATTGCATAACAATGAAATTAAGGTTTGAAAAGAGACTTAGGACAATTTGATAAAATGTTGGTTTTTTAATTAGTTGGTCAAGCCAAGAAAAAAATCCAATTAAAGTAGGATTTAATAGGATTAGATTCATATTATATTAATGGAATTAGAATTTATCGATTAATACAACAATTTTGCAAGGATATTTTCAAGCTTGCCCTGGCCGCACCAGCCGGTTTTAAAGCTTAACAAAACGGAAATCAACAATAAGAACGCACAATTGGGGACCGGGTCAGATTCCTTATCGCAAAACATAGGATTATACTCCCCAAAAAAACCCCGAATCCAAAGGTCAATTCATGGTGCGCGAGTGACGAGCCGACATCAGGGGGATGCCAGTGAGTGATTATTGGAAGTTATGGGACAAAGCCGCCGTGTGCCCAAGCCGCTTATGCTGACTGCCGCACCCGGCTGCTCCCCCCCACTTAAAAAAAGCCGAGTCGTCGCGCACCGCAACAAACCTAGTCTAGTAGATAGATATAGCAGCAAAATATAGCTATGCGGGAAGGGATAGAGGGGGCCCACGTGAAGATAGCGGGGAGGGAGGTGCGTCTCTAGATGGGTCTACAAATAGAATGGTCGGTTGACAGTTCCAAATGGGTCGGGTGGGGGTGGGGTTGGGGGGAGGCTTCTGGGCCAGAGGGGATAAGCCGGAGGTGGGCGAGTGGATCGGGTTTGCAAATGTTGCAGAAAAATGATAGGGCGAGATTAGGGTGTTCAGCGAAAAATTCAATTCTCGATTTTTCGAAAGCATGAATTTCCAGGATCTAGGAATTTTTATAAAATTGATGTGCGATCTCACGGAGATTTTCAAAATCTATCAAACCTGTGGAACTTACGAGATCCTGGTAATTCGAGGGAAAATTCGAAGATCAAAAAATGCGAGATTTCTGAACAATCCCAAGATTTTAAAAATTCGAGATTATGAAAATTTATTCTGGTGAGTTGTATGTATTACTGCGGAATAAGTAACCGCAAAAACAGCCAAGCAGAAAAACCGACGCATTTTAATCGTATATAACTTTGAATAAGAGACAAAAGCAAACAGAAATTTTTAAATTATAATTCCTATGCCCTAACCGCTCAGAACACATTAACAAAACCTTAGCACGACAAAATGGCAGCGTATGAGTGGAATCCAGGTAAAGAAAAGCGTCGAGAGGGGTGGAGGGGGACGCGCGCTGCGCAGGGCTGCGTGTGGCTCAGATTGTTTGCGTGAGGTCCGGAAAGGCGGTTGGAGGGACCAACGGAAAGATGCCGCGCCGATCAGGGCCCTGGGCCCCGACCACTTGACTTCCGCTTAATTCCACTTGAAAATTGGGGGCATCGCGGATTTCGGAGAGATGTTTATGGGGTGGGAATTTGGGTGAAAAGTTCGTGGAAGTCGCTTGGTGATTTGTGACAGTACGAAACAGAGTCGGGGTCGGAAAAAGTTGAGGAAAGTGCACGCAGCTGGAGATTTCGAGGCGAAGTTTCTAAGTGATGATTCAGGACGCACAGCTGGAGTTGAAAGGGTAATTTGGCATGGGTAACTATAGTAAAGTACGGTTACAGGACGGCCCAAAAAAATGCCTCCCACTAACGGTCCAATGGAATCCCGGATGGGGGCGGTTTCTGCATCAATCAAAAGCCCTAAAAAATATTGCAAAGAACAACAGAACAAGCGGGTTTCGTTTGCCTACATTAATAAACACTTTCTTGATATAATCCTTCCTAAATAAACACCGTTTTCAGCACGAAAACTGCAATTAACATACATATACCTCCAAAATCTTCCTTTTTGTAGGTTTTTGGCTTTCAGAACTAAAAATCCAATCCGTAATTTAGAATATTCTAAACGTTTTTTTTGCTCGGTTACGAGAGGTTTCGATTCATACCTGAATCGTGGCAATCTGAAATTTCGCTCGCGGGGATTTTTTTTGTGCGCTTGTATTTGTCTCCCGGCTGGCATTCTATAGCATCTACTGTAGCTTTTTAAGGTAAAAAAGTTATTCAAGGGCTACTAAATCGAAGCAACAGGTCAAGAAGTAGCTTGCAAAATTTCCATCCAGGTGGCACCCACATACCCAACAAGGAATCGGGTTCAAATAGTGCCCAGACTAGACCATAAAAGGGCCCCCGCACCACCCCAAACTAACAGGTAGACATTACATTGGTGTGCTGCCACGGCATGCTGTCAGACAAAAGGACATGTCTGCGGTGTGTTCGATGCGAATCGGGGGGACCCAGGTCCCGGGTGCTGTGGTGCTTGCCTCAACCAAACAGTGCCCCGAGAGCTTGCCGGGGACAGACCAGGCATTACCCTCGGCGCGCCTCACCCCCCACCAACAGCACCAACTAGATTAGAAGCGTCCGCAAACTCGGCTTTCGAGTTTATCACCCTCACACACAGGGGGGTAGGGGGGCTAGGGAATGTGCTTGAGACAGCCGGCAGGGCTTTGAGGAAAATCTGGGGTGCTTGCTTGCGAGGCACGGCGGTGGGTGGCGGTGGCCTGATGAGTTGGGTAATTTGAATGTATGTTTGCTGATTTTGAGTAGCTGGAAGGATCGAGATTACGTAGCTGTTGCGGTGGGGATGGAGAATCTATCAAAAACTTGATATGGTGGAATTAATCATGGTTGTAAAAGAAAGGCAATAGCTTTGTTTAGTGTTATATGAGATTATTTTCTACTGAATCTTGGGCGTTTTGTAGGCGTTCAAACATTTCAAGCTATTCAGATGATCTCCAAGGGGTCAGGGTAGTGTAAAAAAAAGTAGAAAACGGCTTATTATTGCCTGCAACATTTGACTCGTCTGGCCCTGCAAAAATGCCATTTTGATAAAATTCGCATACGCAGAAACTTAGATTGATAGGTGGGCGGGGGATAGACTCTCTAAGGCAAAAAAATGTTAAAACGCACTTCTTATTCTTAGTAGACTTTATGCGCCAGGGGCGGCCGATTCTGATGCAATTTTCAAAGTGATAAAATTAGCATATTTTAAAACCGGTGATTCCTAGACACTTAGGCAAAAAACTTGTAGTGTGGGATTGTAGGCTACAATTTATAGTTCAAATCCCCCAATGAATCCCACCCGACAACGTCGGAAATTTTCAAGCACCCAACAACCCCTTCATGCGGGCAGCGAAACCGTCCAGGCCCAGAATAGCAAGCAAGACAAGAAAAACGCCGTCGCCAGGTTCTAGGATTGTCGGGGGGTGAAGCCGCAAAGTGGTGGCGCGGCCTAGGTGGTGGTGGTGGTGCTTGTAGGGGAGCAGCGGTTGTTTGCAGTAGCATTGGAGCAGAAGGGACAGAACAGTGTCGCAGGTTTGGGTGGGACCTCTCTCTCTCGTTGGGACCTCCTTGGCCTTACCTACCAGCGAAATAAAGAACACAGGTACACAGTGTAGAGGAGGGCGTGAAAAGCGCAGAGAGCGGGGGTTTCGGGAAAAAGAGAAAGGCAAATGTTCTACGATTTCGGGTGGCTAAATCGGGGATTTGGATGTGAGACTTGTTTTTGGGTTATTTAGTGACGAATTCTTCAGATTAAATGTCGATTTTAAGGCAGCATCGCTAGTTTTGTGGTTTCCGCAGATATAGTAGATGTAGTCTTGTCTTAAAAAGGATTAATGGTATGATAACATCTTTTTTTCAGGCCAAGATCGCTATGGCGTCATGACAAGGGTCTATTACAAGGATGCGCATGGAGCGGTGATCGTTATGGATTCTACGCGTGAAGCTACCCATGAAGGGGCATTAAGGTAACTAAAATTAAGATTTTAGCTAGATTTTTGACTTATTTATCAAGAAGCTTCAGCTAATTCTTATCTTAGATGGAAAACGGATCTTGACAATAAAGTCACATTGGCTGATGGTAGCCCGGTGCCAGCGATATTACTTGCAAACAAGTCCGACTTGGACAGCGGAGTGTCGGATGAAGAGCTGAGACAGATGGAGCGCGAGGGGAGCTTTGCAGCTTCCTTTAAAACCTCCGCCAAGGACAACACGAATATTGAGGAGGCATTCAAGTATTTGGCGCAATGTGTGAGTTATTTAATGAACTTTTCTGTAGCTTTTTTTGTTCTCTAAACTTCATTCAAACCCAAATTTCAGGTGATAAGCACGGAACGTGGTGGACAGTATGAAATCCCGCTCTTCAATCGTGAAGGCCAGGTCCGTCTGACTGATGACGTCTTGAAAACGCGTGAAATCCACTCCAAAAACTCTTGCTGTACTATTCTCTAGCATAAGGTCTCTTGTCTTTCTTTCTTCTGTAATTTTTTTCTATTTGCTTAAACGTTTATGTACACAACGACTCCAATAAAGTCCTTAAATTATGCAAAATAGACGAAAAACGAGGATCAAACGCAGGGCCCGCTACGTGGTAAATGGATAAGTAACGATTTTGTTCGGCTAAAGGGTGCACATCAGAGAATCAATTGACTAGTGGTCTATAGAATCACAGGTTGATGCCAATTGTTAGAATCGAATTGGCGAGAAGAATACTGGAGTTAATCTTTCTTATAAATGCGTAGAGGAATGTGAAGAAGTTGAGCAAGTTGGGGGACGAAAGATAGAACCCTCTTGAAGTGATTATTTAAGTAAGAGCAGGACCGGAAGGATGATCAAAGAAAGTAATTTAGAAAATGTTGATGCGCTTCTCGCCAAAGCTTCGCTATCGTATGTTTGGATATCATAGTCTTTCGTTGTTAAGTCACCTGAAAAAAATTATAGAAAACCAAACCATAATCTTACCAAAGTAGCATTTATGAACGTATGGGCTGCTGACAAATCGTCCCATAGCGGAGTAACCCGTGGTCAACGGTTCTTCAGTAATGCATAACTTGCCTACAGAAGTTGAGATAGTTAAAGGATGATGTTATAAAACTACCGTAATTGGTATATTGTCGCAAGTAGGTGAACATGCCCTCAAGATCTGAGGGTTGGGTGACCATGAAGACATGAGAAGGTGGAGTTGGGCCACTACCACCACTCAATCCGATCGTATATCTGAATTTGCAAATGAGGGGACGTTGTAAATCTTGGATTTAAAAATATTTAGACTCTAGAATATGGTAATGTAATGGTAAATTCTCAAATTTACCTGATCGGAAATTCGGCATGGACCCGGAATCTATAGGCTATTGATTGACTTTCCGTCTCCGGGATTCCAATATCGCCCAGCGTCGAATCGGCCGATTTACCCATACGGTCAAGCGTTCTAGAAATCGATACCTTTACTTTTAGATTTTTCTTATTTACCTGAAAAGCTTGCAATCCGAGCCAGTCGTCTCGTTGTGTCGGCTGATATTTTCCCATTCGATGCAGACAATGTACCACGATTTCTCTTTCAAATCGTTGATGGCAACCTTAACCAAACAAAACATTGAGTACTTATTAAACAAATTATTATTATAAAGTCAATTTCCCTTATTTTCAAAGCCCTCTTTATCCTAAACCTTGCCCATCTAAAGCAGTGCAAGCAAGTTCTCAGCTTGTGTGGTCAACCGCACAGTGGTAGCCAATCTCTTAGCACTAAACGGCCACCGCCAGTGCGTCGTAAAAATGCTGGCGGCGCTCGGCTTGAAAGGGATCCCGATCCAACTCCCCCAAAAATTCCCGTGGCCTGCCCGACCTGCTTGTCCTCGTAAATCGTATCCGGGTAGAACATCTTGGTCACCGTCGTCTCGTCCTTTTTCAACGGGATTGCGGTGATGTAGAGGGTAGGGAGGAGAGTTGGAGCAAGGGTGCTTTTAAGGAATTCATCATGGAAGATTATTCGGAAGCCATATTTCATTGGGTCGGCAAATTTGATGGCTCTGAAATTTAAATCATTATTTTTCATATTGAGAATTAAGCAGCATATAGGCTTTTTATTGTAATTAACACTTACTTTACATGTGTGTAGATCTTCTGATTGTAACGAATATTTGCGGCAATTCCAAGCAGTAATGAAAATAAAGCCCAGGTCTGCAACACCAAATTCCGCATCCCCGTCAGCTCGTATTTGCCCTCTACGCTTGAAGATCACCTGAAAGATATGTTCACTTGATGTTCCAAAATCGCACGCAAGAGTAGAGGTATTCGAATGAATCATTTACGGGCCCCCAAGGTGCCCAGGGTTAAGGCTACGGGCCGGGGGCTGTAAATTGGAGGGCTGAATGCAAAGTGGGGGATCAAGAATGTCATCTCATTTACGTCTTCTGCTGGGGGACCCCCGTGACAATCTGGACATGCTTATGCAAATTGGAAAGGGTCGAGCCAGGGGGGAAGAGGGGTCAACCACCCGGCTGGCGGATCAGGCAACCGGGGCTTGACTCGACCGTCTCGAGGACATTCTCACGCGGCTGTAAACGGGGGCGACGGCACGCGAGCCCGTTTAGTGGTGGTAAAAAATGGAGCGAGAGAGAAATTTGGTGTTTTTAGCAAGTCAAAGTAGTGCGGGGAAAAGTAGTTAGAAAAAGGAAAGTAAAGTAGTTGAATGGTGGGAAAGAGAGGTTGTGGAAGGAAGGAAATGGGAAAAGCATATGATATGGCATAAATTTGATGCAGGTGGCGAAGCGACTAGAGGAGTGGCGAAGAATTAATGAGAAAACACAGTCCAGACCATCGAAAATATGGCAGGAGCTATGGAAGCCAAAAAAAGCAATTTGTTCGTAGCTTGCTAAACAAAGGCCTGTTTTGACAGATTTGAGCCTGTTCCTGTGATTGCATAAACAATGCTAGGATTTGAAAACGAGCGAAGAAACCCAAAACCCATCAAAATAAAGAATTTCCCGAAACCTACGTTCTCGGCCTTGTCAAACTTCAAATGCCCCCATCAACCCCAAAAAAACTGATCGTTCCAATAGCCACGTCAATGCGTTACCGCAAGGACAACAATACGCATGCTTCAAACGGATTAGGGTCACCTGGATAGATGACACACCCCCCAAAAAACGAGACAAATTAGGCCCCCACCTGATCGTCTCAAGGGGCAGGTGGCAGTAGCTGGCGGCTAGGGCCTTGACCACGATGCGGCAGGGGAACATTGCGTAATTTGCATAACTGGGACTCCTCTGATCCCTCAAGTGGACCTCCGCGAGGATGTGCGCCCAATCAAAGGCGGTGTGCCGAGATGTATGTAAAGGGGGTGGAACGGAGGGGTGGGCTGGAACACTGGTAGCTGGCGATGCAAACATTTCTACGATAAGGAGCTCTCCAAAAACCGGGGTAGGCAGTTATGTAGGTTTGTTTTGAAGGGGTAGTAGTAAGTTGTAAGGATTAAAAGTATCGTAAATGGCAATGAAAGCGCTAGATCAATTTTCTTGAATGGTATGGAGGCGAATCCATATGGTAGCATTTTGAGTGACGATGAAGCCCCCCTCCACCCCTTCTGCGTGACAGGCGGGAAAGCAGAAAGCCAAACCTCGAACCTAAGCTGTCGCAAATTGCGTGCGCGGAAAACGACGCACGCCCCGGCCGGCCCCCCTTCCCGAACCACAAAATGATCCGCTTTGACCAGAAGCCCGGGCGCGTGCCGATCGTAAATTAATCAAGCCATTCCCGATTCGGGGTGGGGTTGGTTTTTGGGTGTGTTGGGTTTAAATTTGCTGGATAGCCTCTTACAGTAAGCCTATCTATTAAAAAACATAAAATTTTGGCGTAGTAGTGCAGACAACTAATTTTAAAGAAGGAACACTAGCCTAGTGCCTACTAGCGGAACGCGTTGTGACCCAGCTACCAGATGGGGTCCCCCATCTTAGGCGCAACCGCAAAAACTCGTAAACAACGGTAAGGGGCTGCGGGGGCCCAATGACAGTTTTTCTCCATCCGGTGGACAGCTGCCCAACTGTGGGCGTGCCTGTCATCAAACTTCGAAATCCATGTCCACTTAATCACCCAGAGGAGCAGATGTGGGGGTGGAGGGCGGAGCGGAAATTCGAAGAATGCAGAAAAAAGTGAGAAAATGGCTTTTGAAAGGATTTAAACTGAGGCGAATGGAATATCCAACCCGTGCAACTTCCAAATTTCACGCACAATAGCCTTGAACTAATATAAGGTATGGCAATGGGTCAACCGACCGCTTCCAGCTCTCGCGCATTCATTTGGCCTCGAGTCAATGGTGTCCCCCAGACTCTCCCGGGAAAGGGTATAAATTTATGATCACGGCTATAGGTACGAAGGGGGCCTTCCGGTGGGCGACTACGGACAATCGAGAATTGCACAGGATGGCCCCAAAAAATGGGATGAGGGGGTCGGGGGGCATCCCGGGTGGGTATTGCATTACCGGGTGTATTCAGGGCGCCAGATTGGTGTCAGGGCACTCGATGTCGAAAAAATGTTGGGGTGGGGGAGGGGGTAGCGATTAAGGGGATGATGTATTTTTGCGCGGGGGGAATGAGGAGAGGGTCCTAATGCACGGTGGCGCGCGCCAGCTGACAGCTATCAGGCGCGTGCGCGCGAGCTCGGAGGGGAAGGGTGGATGGTTGTAGACCGAAGATTCGATCAGAATCTTCCAAGGCGGCGGCCGAACATTGCGCCCGGCTTCGTATGCATGACTGCTCAGTATGGCAACTACGAAAATATATACCGGGGGTGTCAACAATAGGGGGGCGAATGAATGGAAGCGGGGGATTTTTGGAGTTAGAATATACATATTATAAATATTATATAATTAAAATAATATATAAACCAAGTAAAAGTAATAATAGTACATATTTACGCTTAAAATTTGTTTCTAAAGAAGAAAAATACGGGATAACCGAGGCTTTAAAACCAGCTTAATCTAAAAAACTAAAAAAATCGGTTTAGTAGCATGGCTAATCTACCATAAATTAAATTTTGAATCCAGGAACACCAAGAAACTTCGAATAAAAAAGAATAACGACGATATAATCAGAGTTTAGAAAATCAGCCCCAATCTAAAAAGATCCAAAAAATGCATTTTCATTTATTTTCATGACTATCTTCCCTGTTCAATTTGAAAGAAATGTTTAACAAACGAACACTCAAAAAAACTTTGCATACCCGGGAATACTTCAGCAAAACTGCCAATACGATCCATCTCCGTTCTCCCATGCCCCCCATCCATTCACCGTAATTCAATTTTTAAGGACAGAAATTGCCCCGGAGGGAACGTGTACCCTCAACGGTTGTGTGAATGCAAAAGGGAAAAGAAGATGTTCGGGAAATGGCTTTGTCCACCGACCCCTGCAGGCACCACCTTCCCCCCACCCTCTTCGGTGCTCGAATCACCGGAAATGCGCGCACCGCCCTGCTTCGCGGGCCCCAAAATGGATATAAAGGGGGATTCCCGGGGTCGCACGCGTCTTTTTAAGAAGCCGCTGCTTCTGCAATTGAGCCCCTGGCGGCAAAGATGGCTAGTGCGAATTGGATTTCAGGATTGGGGATTTTTTATGCGCCGGAGGGTTGGCAAACTAAAGGGTGCCCTTTGGGAAAATTTCAAGTGGATTTGGCAGGGTGCGGCTTGAGGGTAATGGAGCCAATAAGTTATGAGGATAGAGGGTGCGGTGTATTGAAAAAGCGGGAGATAGGATTTTGGTTTTTGCGCAGTTATAGATAGCAAGTTAAAAAACGCCGATATCACATCATAAATTTACAAAAAGGAACCAATTATACAAAGAAACAACTAGTTAGCTTATGCAAAATCAAGTGCAATGCGCCGCAAAAGGAATATGGCTTCCTCCCAACCACTAGCAGGAACGGCGCCCCTCGCATTTGTTTGTAAACTATCCACATCAGGTGGCCACTGGGGATGAATTGTAGCTTTTCATAGCCGGCACACCCTGCTCCAAAACTAATGGCGGTTAAAGAACCAAGACTGAGGGTCGACCGAGGGGGATTCGACGTCGTGATAAATGGAGACATTAGCAGGTGTTCTCCCTTCATTCCGAAAACGATGTTGCAGAGTGCGAGCCGGTGGGGCGAAGCCCATGTCGCGGCTCTTAACGACCTTGGCGTCGGCTTTCGCCTCGATCCCGCGAGCAAATGGGGCGCTCAAAAGTTTTTGGGGTTATCAGGGGACAGGAAAAAGTGAGAGAAAAACTTCTAATGTCCTTAAGATTCTAAAAAGAGAAAAAAATTCGGCTGAAAGGTAGGTTTGTTCAGATTCAGAGCAGACCACCCATGTCGAGGTGAATTCATGGATAAGGAAAACTTTTTCGAATCTGATTATATCATTTTAAAAACTTGAATAATCTAGACAACGTCTAATTTGCAGAAAAAAGGCAAAAAGCGCATCGATTTCCTGAAAAATGACATTATTTTTGCTTCTACTAGGCTAATTAGGTAGATACCAGATTCAAATTATTCAGATTGTTCAGGGCTTCAGGTATTCAACAGATCCCGATTAAATTCGTTGGATTCCGATATTGGACCTAAATAATCTGAATCCGAATAAAACAACGACTACTTTTGCAAAGGACCATAAAGTGACGGTCCGACTCCACCCACCGACCAAAATCCACTTAACCTAATGTACCGCCAAGTAGTCAAATAGTTATTCGCGGGGAACAACGGTATGCCGATCGAGGGGCTAGAAGAGGGCCAGGCTCCTTGACTGGCTGCCCCTCATTCGAACAGATTTGAGTGGGCCCCGGGTATCAAAGGGGCGAAGGGGGGACCATCAAGGATCTGACCCCTTCAATCCCAAGACAAACACTTCACCAATCGTTCATGCGCCAAAAACACTCCCCCTTAGGGCCGTTTTGGGTTGAACAGTTTGCGGGGAATGTCATTACTGCGAAGCTCATTACATCGAAAATCATTACATCGAAAAAATCGGCTGGCCTATTAAGCTAATTTGCATATTTTTACGTGACGCCGACGTTCATTCAATTGCTTAAAGCAAAATTTCACCAACAGACTTCTGGAACGCAAAACCAAAAACTCGGTACATATCCCCTGGAGCACCATACCCCATCCACCCCGAACAAAAGAATACGCAATCTGGTGACCCGATCATGCACACAAAAATTTGATTTACAATACTTCGCGGCTGGCCGCTAGCAGGGGGCTCCCATGGATGGTTACGCAAGCCGAGGCCACCTCTCAAGACCTGGTCATTCACCCCAACCACCCCCACCCCCCGACAACAATTCAATTAGCGTACACTAATACGTCCGGCTTTTCGTGCTAGCAATACTAGAAAAGCTGAAGGAATAGGGGCGGGGAAATGGTCAAGGGAGAATTCGATTTACAGGGGTTGGGATGGAAAAATGGGGAAGCTATCTATGGGGGAGGGGGTGGGTGAAGAACAAAAAAAGGTTGGTTGTTGTTGGGTGGGGGTGAGTCAAGCCTGAGCGCACCATTGTCTTTTAAGGAAGGAAGAGAAGGGGTAGAATCCGCTAGAAAGCAACCAACCCAGACTTTGGACTCCGAGGGGCCCCGGGAGAGTTTACGCTAAATGGCTTCTACATTATTATGTCTATTTATATTTCTTTTCAAAGTGTTAAAGGGATGCCGACGGCATAGTCAATCGGTTGCGCGCGGAAAAGCTTGTCTCAGCGCCTCTCCCCTGGGAGCGCTCTATCCCCTGTTGGCTACTTGCCAATTTGTTGATGAGGGGGATCGACACAGGCCGTCGGCAGCCCTTTGAGTGACATTTTTTAAAAAAGAATATTGCAATTTTCATCCCTGCTCTACAAGAAACCAAAAATCTGGCCCTTAGAAAAGAGTCACAGCGACAACAATGATCTCTCCAATCCAAATCATCCCCCAAAATTCCACGGTTCACCGCCCTACAGTAAGAATCATCGCGTTATAATAGGCATCTAGATGGATTGAGTAGAGTCTGGGACAATTCAGGTCGCCCGCTGCCACCAAGATTTCCGGATCCGTGCACAAATTGGACATTGTTGGTGCTCGTCGCGCAGAGGGAGGCCCTGTATGCAAAAATCCAAGGGGGCTTGGGGTGTGACTTGAGAATTTGTGTTGGGGGCATGTGTGCTGACGGAATTAGTTGGGTCGGGGGAGGAGAACAAGAAAGCTTTCTTTTTGTTTGTTATTTCTTAGAGGTGAAAAAGGTGTC